ATGCAACAACTGTAAAAACTTTCAACGCTGTTTTGTTCATATGGATGGGAACAAACACATGTGTATGCATTTTTGAATATAAAAGTTTTGTGGCGGTAAGTATATTGATTTTATTTCTTTTGTTGATAGTTTGTCCAAGGCTAGGGGACATTACTCTGACTCTACTCAGTCTTTGCTACGAGACTTAAGATTCCCAGACCAGGCCAGACCTAGGTCTAGATCTAGATTCTAGAATCTACCAACTAAGATCTACATTGCTTTAATCTAGTTCTAAGAGTATAAGTTCATGAATTAGAATATATTAGATCTAGATTCTAGATCTAGAGTCTAGTATTTTAGTGATCTAGATAAAATATTAAAAATATTAAGAAAAGGATGACGGTAAAAACTAAAACAACAGGAAAATGAGGATGACTTCCAGCCTCACTCAGCCTACGACTTACTTATTAATCGAATCTAGATTCTAGATATTAGATCTAGATATCTAGAACTTAGACAACAATGTTAATGTTAATAGATCTAGATCTAGCTAGATTACTGAACTAGACTCTAGATCTAAATCTAGTACTGATTACTCAGTGATTACTGTTTAATATTTTAGAAGTAGGCCTATTAGTTATTTACTTATATTAGAAGTAGCTTGTAGATAGATGGCTAGATAGATAGTATTACTAGATCTAGATAGAGATAGTAGAATAGATCTAGATTCTAGTTGCAGATGGTAGTATGGTAGGCCCTAGATCTAAAATCTAGATCTAGAGAATCTAGTAGATCTAGATAGATTCTAGATCTAGATTAGATCTAGTTTAGGTAAAACCTACCCTAGTTATTAAGTTAAGTTTAGTAAGAGCTAGATCTAGTAAGGCTAACCTGTTTTTAATTTTAAATCAATTTTTTTATATCTAGAATCTAGACTAGATCTACTCTAGCTATTTACTAGATCTAGATCAGTAGCCAGTAGAGTGATTAGAGTAGTAGTAGAGTGTAGTGTAGAGTACTGTAGACTATTGTAGAGTGTAGGTACTAATAACTAGACTGAAACTAAATTAGACAAGAATCTAGGTCTAGATACATTTAGGGCTTACAGACTTATCAGACTACAGTGTTGCAATGAGTAGATCTAGTAATATATAGATTAAATTTAGTTTGAAATTGTTACAGTAGTGCTACTACTTTTCTAAGTAGTAAGTAGTGTAGACTACTAGAAGAGCAAGATGATAGATCTCCATCAAGCTACAATAGAGTTTAGTTAGTAGTTAGTTAGTTAGTCATAGTAATAGTACCAAAAGCAGTGTAAGTAGCACAGTAAAAAAAAAGTATTACTAGGCCATCTACTATTGTATTAGGCCCTTTTATTTTTAGCAAGTTAAAGTTTGGTTAAGTACTAGTCTTCTAGCAAGTTGCCTAGTAGTAAACTTATAAACTAGATCATGTGTATTAGTACTATTAGACTTGTAGGCTAGTCTTGTTAGTCTAGACCAGGGACTATAAAATCTACAATTGATAACTTTCGGCCTTTTAGTATAAGCCTAATTATTAATGAATTACAGGGTACAAAAATTAATAAATTGGTCAGAGTCAGTATGGTTACAGTTAGCTGTTAATAGAATTAAGTTTTAGATCTATTGACTACAATTTTTAGTTACAAGTAATGAAAATGAAACTAATAGTTTTGTAATAGTTAAGATATGGTTAACTGTAAACCAGATATTTTAGTTTTTAAGACAAGCTAAGTAGATAGAAAACTGAACCTTTACAATAAATTAAACCTTTTATAAATATAAATAAATAAATAAATAAATAAATATATATATATATATATATATATATATATATATATATATATATATATATATATATATATATATATATATATATATATATATATATATATATATATATATATATATATATATATATATATATATATATATATATATATATATATTAATATCACATATTAGTTAAATAATTATTTTAATATAATATATGGATAAACTTAATAATTTATTATATTTAAATTCTCTAGGTACTTGGCAAGCAATTTTCTCACACTTTACTGTGGCTATTGGTGCTGATCTTGAACTAAAAGTGAGCTGAATTTTATTTTATAATAAGCCATTTTTCAGCTTAAGCCCAAGTTTGAAACCGATTCAGTTTTCTAATTCTTAAAGAATATGTTGCTACTAAGATTATTTACTGTAAGTATTAATATGTATGGCTTGATAGTGGGACTGTCAGACAGTAGCTTTTACATTTCTATCCTAAAAGATAAGAGTTCAGATCCCTGCCTTTAGTGCTAGTATGATGTCCTAAGTCTCATGAGTACCAGCTCTCATGAGTACCTGGCTCAAGATAGGGAAATTAAAGGTGGCTGGGTATATACCTCTGAACACTCTAATTTTACATGCAAATGTTACAGAAACAGGTGAATTTTAATTCAACTGCTATATTGGCTGTCTGTTTTAATCAATGATTAATTTTTTCATATTACAGAAAGTTGTTAAAAATATTATTTATTTAATTTCCAGGTAAATGGAACAGCATGGATGTGGATTTTTAGACACAAGGAAGCTGAATTTAACTTTTAATGAAGAATTTAAATGATGATTGTCCATGAAAAGAAATATTAATCATATACATTGTAATGCTGTATTGATGCATCTTCTGTTTTAAGTAATTAAAAAACCATCCATTTATGAAATTCTTTTCATTTTTTTTTTCAATTTTAAAACTGTAGTTCTGTTTTGTTATTTGAAAACAAAGATGAAAGTATACTGAACTGCCATTGAGATATTAATATAAATGCTATTGTTTATAGTTTAATTCTTTCAGAAGCAACTATATTGACATCAAAACTGAATCTTTATTGTACACTAAGTATAAAAGCTTACCCGCAAACCAGTCCATGTCAACAATTTATTGACATCCAAACATTAAATTGTTTTAAAGGTGATTTTTCTTAAATAAAACAGACTACTTTCATATGGGATAAGAAACATTTAATTTTGAAATTGATTGGTTTATTAAATTTTAATGGAGCTGAAACTAAAACACTGGGTACAAATTTATTATTACTTTGTTTCTCAGAAAATTGCTAATTTTGAACATAAGAACTGTGGGAAGTAGGCAATGATGTTAAAATATCTCTTGAAACTTGAAGAAATTGTGGAAGGTTTAGAGATAGAAAACAACATTTCAGAAGATGATGTTTGAAATAATGGTAAAATATCTTTAGCAATTGTCACTGAATAAATATTTTCATTAGACAAATCACATTTAGGTATAGAAGAATAAGGTACGTCTTCAGATTTTCTTATTAGCGAAGATCCTGGGTGATTCTCTTTGTTACCATCGGTCAAACGACAAGCCAATTCTGGAAAATTCATTGGGTTCTTTGCCTGGGCAGCTAAATATATTTAAATTAAGTTCATGCAAGGCTTTAGAAACATCAATTGGATAAAACTCTATAATTTCATTAACTTTTTATTAATATCAGCTCCAAAGGAATAATATAAACAAGTTACACATCATCAATAAATCAAATTTGCAGATATTTCCATTTCACCAAACTTTCTCTAAGTCATAATATATATTTTAAATTCATGGCATTTTGTTAGGCTAGATATGTTGACTTTTATTTACCACAATAATCTGATTATATAAATTAGGATTACCCAGCTATCATACATTCTTCTTTTTACTGCCCTCCTTTATGAGGGGGGGGGGGGGGGGTAAAAATCATCATAAAATGTGTGATGCAATTTACAGATGAACCCTCTCTCTCTCTACCCCTCCCCCTATATATATATATGTATATCTACATAATCTCTAACATCATGTTGGTACCTCTACCTGTTTGAATGTTAGGCCCATTTCCTTAAACTGTTTCTGTGTGGATCTTCTCCATGGGGGTCATCTATAAATGACGTCACGCATTTTTTTGACGATTTTTACCTCCCCCCCCCCCCCCCCTCCCCCTACACATCGTCACAAAAAGCCAGACCCCCACCCCCTAAAATGACGTCACACAGTACTAGATTCTAGATCTAAATTACTACAGTTGCCTACACTCTAGATTTAGTTCTTAAGTTCTACAACAAGACTACACTAAACTTCGCTAGATCTAGAATAATCTAGATTCTATATATAAATTGATATTGAACATATTCTAGTCTACCTGTCTTAAAGTAAATAGCCTATTTAGTAATTTAGTAATTAATTCCACTCAACTACACTGTAAAATAAAAGAAACTAGATCTAGAATCTAGATCTCTAGACTACTCTTGAGTCTATAAATTAAAAATAAATCCTGTATGTCGTATGTTACTGTCTAAGTCGGAATTTTCAAGAGGGTTTTTTTAAAGTCATAGATCTAGATATAGAATTCTAGATCTAGAAATCTAGACTCTAGATCTAGGCTATATATATTTATTAATTAAATTAGGCTTGATTTCAGATTTACGATTGAAATCTTTTAGGCCTATAAATATCATATTTTATATAGATTATAGTTGTATTATTATTATACAGGTTGTATTCTAGATCTATCTAGATCTATATAAAATATAATATATTTGTGTGTGTGTGTGTTATTTTAAACTTAATTTACTTAAAACAACTTATTGTCGGAGTTTTTTTTATTCCAAAAACGAAAGTAGATTTCATAACTTAAAAAAAATAAAAATAAAAAATATTCACATTTGGTTTGAAAAAAGAAAAAAACGCCAGCTGGCAACTACCGGAGCGAGAACTTGGTAAGCTACTTTAACAACTTACAAGCCCAATTACTATCTATGGTTATTTGTAGTTGTGTGAATAGCATGTGGGCTATTTGCACTTAATTTAAAAATGCGCTTTTCATTTTTCGTTAATCTTAACCCTATTCCATGTGTATATTGGATTCCACGCATTTTAATACAGCTTTTATTATTAGTCATAATCAAATGACTTTCATTTAATTTTAAAGCATCAAATAAAATAAAAATTATATTGGATAGGCCTACTCGTTTCGTCTACACAAATTGGCCTAGGCTAATCATGCGACTTTTAACGCAATTCTATTGGTCAATGTGTGGCATGATTATTTGTGTTGCAGATGAAATCTGAATGCCGGTAAATCTAGCTAGACGATGTGTTGAATGTTGATGTTTTTACGTATTTTTCGTCACATTTATTATCATTTTAGTAAATTATTTTTAGACATCAAATTCTCTCATTTCTCTCTACGACAATGTCATCATTTTATTATAATAAATGCAATAAATACATTTTTGATAAATAAATTAGACTATTATTTGGAAGTGACGAAATGGTCGTCGTGTACTTTCTCCAGCCAAGCAGATCAGATAGGCCTACAGTTAGAATCTATATCTTAGATTTTTCTAATCTAGATCTAGAATCTTATAGTTCTATCTAGATTATAGGATTATTAGAATCCATAAGATCTAGAATTCTAGATTTAGATCTAGATCTAATTATTAATTAATTTAATAATAATCAATCATTAGGCACTCGAATATCCATTGGTTGGTTGGACCATGATCCATCCATTATCCAACTATTTTTAATCATCGTCGTCTAGCAACTAGAAATCTAGATCTAGATCTAGTTTCTAAATTTTTATTTAGAATCTAGATCTAGAATCTAGATCAAGCTAAATCTAGAATGTAGACTATTTGAGACTATTATGATATTATCTATCATCACTGCACTGAATTAGACAGTAAGGTAGAATACAAATAAATCTAAGTCAACAAAGTGTCAAAGTCAAAGGGAAGATAACTTTTGACTTTTAGTAAAATCTGTCTAGAATTTATTTAAAAAGTTAATAGTTAGGCTAATAGGCCTAATTATGTAATTAATTAGTCTAGGTCCAAAAAGGTCTTGGTAAAAGGTGAGATGTGAAATTGTGAGAAGGGTGCAAAAATAGCCGGTCATGTGACATTTCTGTCTTGCACTTTATCCCTGTCCGAATAGTAGGCTTGTGGGGTAAATTCAAGTTGCGCTGATATCTGAAAATTTTATGGAACTAAATTTAAAATTGCAACAAGCCGATGGTTTACATGAATTTTGATGCAAAGCAGTTTTTAAACACTTGGTAGGCCTACATCTATATATATAATTCACTTTATTGAGGGACCATGCAGGACACCATGTTAGCACTCCGAATGGCATATTGCTACTGCCTCCACCTGTCTAGTGAGCTGTTGTTCACACCAAATGTTCACAATTGTAGAGCCGTGTCGAATTAGTGAATGCTATTAGGGGCAGATAATTTAGTTTTTAAACAATTTGAAACTAAGGGGAGGTAATAACAAGTTCTGCTTGATCTTTTCATTGTCGGTAAACTGTCGGCACAGACGGCTGCTTTCACTGGGGGAGGGGGGGGGGTGTGAGGATAATCGTCCTTCACAAGCTCAGTCGCAGCTTTGGTAGTCTCAAATTCACAAGTTATGAATTACTGAAAAGTAGAAAATAAAACAACTAAATAGCGGCCTATGCAACGTCCCGGGTCAGCTCGTATGTATTGTTAAAATTTGTTATAATTTAGCCACACTACCCCCCCCCCCCCCCCCCCCCCCCCCATGAATTCGATGTTCCAATTCCAATTTATACAGCACCTGAAATTTGTCAATTTTATTATGTTATGTAAAAATGTAGGCCTACTTTATTTTTTCTCTCCTTAAGTTTTTAATTAATTGAATTTTATATCGATCCAAAATTTTTCACCTATTTTTCAATTGGCCTACTTATTTAATGATATTTTCACAAAAAAGTTGGCCTGTTGTTAATTATTGCCCTTTTATAAAAGAAATGTAGGCTACATCTGCAAAGCCAAGTTTTTCACAAATCTAATCTCACATGAGAGCCTATAAATAAGAAGCTAATGTGAACTCATAATGACCCCAAATATGTTCTTCATATTACTTGGTTTATAGAAAAGCAAAAGTAAGGTCATCAACAATCTCAGCAATCTTTATGCTATAGGCATGTACTTGAAGTATAATCCTAACACTCTGAACTAAAGGTATAAAAAATAATACACCATAATAATAATAGCAATGTAGTAAGTATAAGTATAAAGAAATAAAACGTTTTCAGTTTTGCTTTATATTTGTGACTCCAATCAAAATCTATATGAGTATATGTCAATTGTATTTTAGACTTTAAAACTAATAGATACTCAGTATATTTTCAGAAGCTTATTTTATCAATAATCACATGACAAATCTTTTAAATTTTAACCTGTTAATTGCTTTTTTTTAAATTCTAGTGGTATTAACGTCTTGTAAGATTGCTCACAAGTCAACTCACAAATCTCTGAGTCAGGCCAAGTTGGATAATTATATTACAGTAATTTAAAAGGTAAGCTAAATCTGTTAAAACTTCAATAACAAATTCTCTAAAGTAAGTGTAATTTTAAGTTCAGGAATGTTGTTCAAAGAAAAAAAAGCGAGTAATAAAATGTAAAAGCATTTGATATTTAATTAGCTGAAGGCATCCTACATTTCACGTTAAATCGATAAAAGAGTATTTTATCATGCTTGTGCTACTACATGCCTAAATATTTCTTAGTCACAGGGGACCTTATTTTTAAAAAACCTGTTAAAGAATATTTGTAACTATCACTACTCGCTCATTAGCATATTTAAACCTAGGTGTGATTTAAATATATTTCATAAATACAAGAATGCAGATTTATTTTCTAAGCATTTTTTAAATGTAATTATTTCAGGATATTAAAATGGAAAACTTAACTATCAAAGTGGATAGCCCTAATGTAAAGTATACAGATACTCATATTGAATCCACCTATGAATATCAAACAACCAAAGTTAAAAAAGAAGGCTCAGTTTTGATTGCTTGTCCAGAGAGCACAAAGTATATATTCAAAACGCAAAGGACAGTTCCTAAGCTAGGAGTCATGCTTGTTGGATGGGGAGGTAACAATGGAACAACTGTAACTGCTGCAGTTTTAGCTAATAGTATGGGCCTTTCATGGAACACAAAAGAAGGGGTGAGGTATGCTGATTACTTAGGCTCATTAACACAAGCAACTACAGTTTCTTTGGGTCAGGGGCCAGAAGGAGAAATTTTTGTACCCCTTAAATCATTGTTGCCTATGGTTGATGCAAACAGTATACAATTTGATGGTAAGTTTAGTGTTTATGATGTAAGGATCAAATTTAAAAAAAAAAAACTGAAAATTTTAAGTTAAAAGTATTAAAAGTATAAAAAAATTTAACTTGAAAATTGATTTGTAATTTAATTAAAATTATATTTAAAATTTACCACCATGCATTTTTTTTAAGGTTGGGACATATCATCTATGAATCTGGGAGATGCTATGAAGCGCGCCATGGTCTTAGACTACAACTTACAAACTCAGCTTTACCCCTACATGTCAAAACTGAAACCACGTCCATCAATTTACATCCCAGATTTTATAGCAGCTAATCAAAAAGATAGAGCAGATAATTTGTTAACAGGTACTTTGGAAGATGTAGTAAATCAAATCAGAGCTGACATACAAGATTTTAAAAAGAAGAAAAATTTAGACAAGGTAACTTATCTCTCTGTTTGCATTTCTGTTACATAGTTTTTAAGAAATAAGGTTGCTGGTAATGGTATTGTGTTTAACCCCTAATATGAAGGACCATCAATCCTAATTCAGTAATTGTTAAAGCTTTTAATTTGTATAGACAACTTTTTCTATTTAGGTCATCGTTTTATGGACTGCAAATACCGAAAGATTTGCTGAAGTAAGAGAAGGTTTGAATGACACAGCAGAAAACCTTTTAAACAGTATAAAAAGAGGAGATTCTGAAATATCACCTTCCACATTGTTTGCTGTTGCTTCAATATTAGAAGGCATTACCTATATAAATGGATCTCCACAAAACACATTTGTGCCTGGTACAATAATATATATTTTTTTAATCTCTCATTATTTTATTAGTATGGTATTTTTGTTTTATAGCTCATTTAAAACAAATAATTATGAATTGTATGTTAAACATAAAAAATTCACTTTAGCATACCAGTTCTAAATTAAAACATTACTTTTGTAGTGTTTGAAAACATAACAAAACATTCTTTCCATCTTGGTGTATTTTCTTACAATCAAATTTTTTTCTCCTTTTTAAGGTGTTGTTGAGCTTGCTGAAAAGAACAGGGTTTATATTGGTGGAGATGATTTTAAGTCAGGGCAAACAAAAATGAAGTCTGTATTGGTTGATTTTCTGGTCAGTGCTGGCATAAAGCCTGTATCAATTGTCAGCTTCAATCACTTGGGCAATAATGATGGAGCCAACCTTTCAGCTCCTGAAACTTTTAGATCTAAAGAGGTAAGATTTTTAGTTCATTTTCCCAAAACACATTAATTACAATTTTTAAAAGTTGAAATTTTTTTATCTAATGAGTGTATACAAAAACCTTTACAGATATCAAAGACAAATGTTGTTGATGACATGGTAAAGTCAAATCCAATCCTTTATAAACCTGGAGAAAAACCAGATCACTGCGTTGTCATCAAGTATGTGCCCTATGTAGGTGATAGTAAACGAGCTATGGATGAATACGTTTCCGAAATCATGATGGGAGGTCGAAATACTATTGCTATCCATAACACATGTGAAGATTCTCTTTTGGCTTCACCCCTTATTCTTGATCTCGCAATCATAGCTGAACTTTGTGAAAGAATTGAAATACGTCGTGAAAATGAAACTGAATTCCATAGATTTAATGCTGCATTGTCCATACTCAGTATACTGTGTAAAGCACCCCTTGCTCCAAGAGGTACCCCTGTTGTAAATGCATTTTTTAAACAAAGGGCTTGTATTGAAAATATCTTCCGTGCTTGCATAGGCTTAACACCCATTAATAACATGGGATTAGAGTATAAGCAAGAGGTAATACCATCAGAGCTTCAGCATGCTCTTCTAACTTCGCCATTCCAACCTGTTTCAGATGATCACATTACTAAGATAGTAAAGAAGCCACTTAGTGGTCATATGAATGGTTTACACAATTCAAATGGTTTTCATGAAATAAATGGCATGGTATTAAATGGAGAAAGATAATTATTTTTTTTTACAATTATAGAATTGTATAGGCTTTTAAATATATTTTAAAGGCTTTTATTTAATTAATTTCCTATTTTCATGCAACACTAGTTCTTCAAAGATGTTCATTTTAGGAAAAACCTACTTGTTTATTGTTCCTGCCATTCCCTAGTATTTATTAAAATAAAAGCATACCCTTTACTAGTATTATTTTGATTTATACACACATCAGCACAGCTATACTTTTCATAACTTGGGTACTCTTAAATTGTGTTGATTTCCCAACTTGTTCAATTACAAATGGTAAAAATTATGTATGGGGCTTTTAACCCCATCTTGATTCCACATTATAAATAGTAGTAGGTTCATAAGAAAAACATAGCTAAGAACACCTCGCATTGCAGTTATTTTATGATGACTTATTGACTACTACCTGATTTTATTTGTAATATATCTGACATTGATGTTATATTTAATTATAAATTATAACAATATTTATTGTGTATTAGTGTTGTGCTAGGTTTGGATTTTCATTTGGTATTTGAGTATGAAATATTTTGACAGAAATAACTATCTCAAAAACTCATTTTATATTTTTAATGAGCCCTATTGCTTCAATAACTTTACAAATCATGAATGTTTTGATGAGGAACAAAGATGTAACTGAAGGAACAGATGTTTTAATGTATTTTTAAGAGTAAAAAAAATGTATGTGATGTAAGTAATTTTGAAATGTTTGATGAATAAAATTAGACATAATAAATATTTTAAAACTTATTGTTCAGTCTTTTAAAGCTGTGGGTGGTTTGTTATGCTGTAAAAATCTAATACAAGTGTATTGGTTAACAACACAAGAATAGGAAAAAAACCTTTTCTCTCTGTACATTTTACAATTTTTTTACCTCCATGTCACCTGGTCCACAACCCCTTGTTACACCTAATCCTACCCCTATTATCCTACACACTACAGGAATCCAAAAGTGGTGCTTGTTCATCAGACAGGTTTTTAATAGGTTAGCTAACGTGAGCATAAATAAAATTCAAGACTACTAGGTGGAAGCTAGCTTTATTTTGTAATAGTAACACCAGCCATACAGCACAAATAATCTTCAATGATTTATATAAATCAATTGAAAAACAGGTATTAATTCAAATTAGATTTTTACATTTGAAATTGATGGACAGATTACTGCAAAAATAAGGCTTACTTTAAACTAACTTCTACAGGTAACAAGAACAATTCATAATTATATTATTTTAGACAAAACCTAGAGTTTTGTCTAGAAAATCAGCAAATTTATGTGGTTCTCCAGGTGGAAATGGTTGAAGTAAATTGAAGTCATATGATGGTAAAGATTTGTATAGTAAGGGAACACTACAATAATAAAGATAATTATCTTTAGCCAATTTGGCAGCAAGCTCAGATTGGTGGTTTCCCATAAGCTCTTCATTTATCACAACTAAGACATGTTTCTTAGCCCCTAGAGAATCCATGATGCTTCCAGCACCAGCATGGCAAATAACAAGGTCTGCTTCAGCAATGTCATCCACAAGGGAATCTTTGAACCGATAGTAGGTTATACATGGTGTAATATTTGTTTCTGCAATTTCTGTTGGCTCATATGTTCCTCTTCCTATTTGCAAATTTACATGAGTGAAGCCAAGGTTTGCTAACACATCCAAAACAGGAACAGATGTAACCTAAAATAAAACAAAAAGTGGATTTTCAAATTTGTTAAGATTAGTTCAAGTCAGCACATAAATTTAAAATAGATCTAATAATATAATAGTAAGACATAAGAAAGAAGAGAATAGTCGCAGTTCTAATACTATAGGCATCTGTAAATGTACCTATATGCCCCATATATAAAATTATAAGTTACATAGGCCCCTATACCCTAATATTTTAAAATTATAATTTTGTCTTTTGACATTTTGCTATTGGGATAGTGAGGAATAGGATTCTGAAATGGTTTGGCAGTAAAAAAAAATAACAGATTCAGCCACAACATCCCACACATACAGGAAGTACTGTAAATCATATTTTATCTGGTGCAATCTTTTATTAATTAATAAAGAGCATTTACAGATTTGGATTGATTGATTTTAGTTGCATGTTTAATGATGTAAAGTTAATAATTTTCATTGCTAGTGTTTAGCAAATCATTGCCTCCCTTTTATTTTTGAATATAGTTAAAAACTCATCCAGTAGATTCCAAGTACAGTTGTCTGCCCATTCTTCATAGTGGACACTCAGGTAACCACTGTGACCAAACAACATTTAGCATGAACCACAGCTCAGATCATCAGGGGATTGTGTCTAGCTAGTTATCTCCCCTTCTGTTATTGAATATAGTGATCATTAGCATTTAATTTTGTTATCTTCTTTTAGTTTCAGAACTTTTTAATTCAATTTTAATGAGTAATCCAATGTCTAATTAGATTTTTTTAAAAATAATTATTCATCACATCATGCATTGTCTTAGAAGAATAAGATATTTGGAAACTTTGAATGAAATCACTGCATTATAATTTATAAAAGTCTGTCAAAACTGAGTTACAAGATTTGCCACAAACAAATAGATGTTGCAAATCAAATAAAAGCTTGTTAAAACAATTGCTACATTTGACATTATTAATTTTTCTGAACCTTGCTTTTAATCTATATATATAATTCTCTTCTGGGATCAGTTAGAGAACAAGCTGCAAGCGCGCCTTTGCAGTCCCCTCTCTTCCTCTCTATCACTACCCCCCCCCCCCCCCACATGATCTGGTGAGCGGTGTTCACTCTGTTTATATTTTACAATCAGAGACGGGTTTGGTGACGGCTATTAGGGGCAGATAATTTAGTTTGAAACGATTTTAAACTTAGAAGAGGTAACTAAGAGGAGGCTGCTTTCACGTGGGGGGGGGGGGGGGGGGGGTGGGGGGGGTAGTGTTTTTAAGCAAATATTTTCAATGGCAGCATTGGTACTGTCGAATTCACAAATTATAAATTACTGAAAAGTAGAAAACAAGTTAATTAAAAAAGTCTAGTGACATTTATGCGCAATTTCCTTATGTTATCTAAAAATAGCTCTGACGTATAATGCCGGGGTGCGTTCAAGCTAGAAGAACGATCGGTTTGTAGGTGTTTATGTAATTTTAAAATTTGTGACCGAACGAGAGGATATTTTTGAAAACTTTCTTCGGCAATATTGTTCTAAATTATGGCAGGAATCGATTGGTACATGTTTCAAGTCGCTAAGTGGTCTGGTTGCCGAGATATGGGTCAAAAACTGAATTTTTTCGAGGTTTTTTGGCTTTTCCGGGAAATACATGAAAGAAACCCGGAATTTTTATGGCCTATGCTCATTCTCGTAACTTGCTTAACATAATTGCTTTTGGAACTAGTCATCGATATTGCTTCGTTGAGGAGGAGATACGACTTAAAGCCCGGACACACATTCATCCATACATTCATTCATTCATCCATCCATTCCCAGAAATGACGAGTTAATAAACGCAATTCTCCAGAATGGAAATTGCGCTAAAAAAAACAACTAAATAGCGGCGTATGATACGCAGCGGGTCGGCTCGTAGTTTTTATTTCTGTATCACTTAGTATCACTAGCTAGATTATGTTGATCAAACTCAAAATTCTAACAAAACTCAACAAACATAACCGAATAACTGGCGCTATATCATGAGAATACCGGGAATGGTTTGCTACCACCTAGATCTATATAATATATATTAATAGATTGTACATTTTAAATCATTCTTTATAGTCTACCTCTTTGATCAGTGAATCAAACTGTGTGGTTCCCACGGTGACAAAAAGTCTTTTTATTTGTTTCATCATTTGAAATCAAATGTGCCACCAGTATAATTAATATAAAATATATCTAGAATCTTGACACTTCGATGGTTAAATTTTTATTGATTCAATAAAGTTATTAATTAGTTTAGAAGTTTAGGCCTAATTATTTATTATAATATAATAATATAATTTATATTATTTAATATTTATTGTTTAAGATTATCGTATTCCTACGGGTACAATTTTAGTTTTTACTTTGCCCTACACGGTCAAATGCAAAATATGGATCTAAGTCTACGTTTTAATAAAAAAAAATAAAGGAAAAAAGCACAAATTTGTTTTTAATTTTTCGTGCTGCATCAAAACTGACAAAACGGCCAATGACTTAGGCCTACTAACGACCCCGGCATAACAGCCCCGTCAAACCAACCCCATCAAAAGGGCAAGCAGCAAATGGACCCCGTTATATAGACTCCCGAAATAGGCTCCCGTCATTTTGGTTTCCAACAAAAGGGCCCTTGTAAATACGGTTTCACTAGAGAACCAGTCTCTTGGTGAAACTTCCTCATTGAATATGGCACTTGCCAGTGGGACCCCTTCATCAATACTTTTTAGAGCTACCTTAGTCAACACTCTTATATAATTCAACGTATGCATATCTTGTTCGGCAGGCCTTAGTTTTATATTATTTTATCTAGTATAAGAAATAGTATGTTTTAAATTTAAGGGTAATATGACTTACATAAATGAGTCGGTTGTTGGCAGCTATAACTCCGTGTGTGGGGAGAGAGGTCCACGCTGTACAACAGTACATTTACCTACAGTATGCTTGTAGGTTATCAAAACAAAATGCCGTTATCCTGTAAACATCATGTATATCATACATCTAAACTTCAAAGCTCGCTTTTAAACAACATATCTTCACTGTTGAAAATTAAACATTGTCAACATTGGGGTCATCCATAAATCACGTCGCGCTTTTTTGACGATTATTACCTCCCCTTCCCCTCCGTCACACATCGTCACAAAAAGCCAGACCCCCCCCCCTAAAATAACTTCACACCTTTGCCTACAACCCCCCCCCCCCCCCCCTCAAAATTTCAGTTGAATCTTTCTTAAAACATCGATATTTTTCCAAAATCTTGTCTAAAATATCTCAAAATAGAGTAATTTAATCAATTCCTCGAGTAGGCAAAAGCTCACGGTTGATAAATTCGAAAAAAAGTCTCGTCCAACCCTCTGGCAGATAAGGCTCGATCCCTTCAACATTGAAAATTAAGAACGAAGAAGAATCAATTCCTCTTACAATTTATTAAAACTGTTTTCTAAAAAGCGAAATAACGGCTAAAATTCGTTTTCTAACATTACTTTTTGTTAATGCAAAAATGTGACGTCCCACCATCTGAACCCCCCCCCCCTCATCACACACCGTCACAAAATTACGGACCCCGCCCCCTCCCCCTACGAGTGTGACGTCATTGATTATGGACGACCCCATTTTAACATTGGTCGATTTTAACTGTTAAGGGCTCGATTGTTTATTAATTGATGTTGGTTCATTAAATATTTTTCATTCAGAAATTCAGGCATTTAAAACAGTTTATAGTGGTAGTAGAGGTAGGAACTGTGTGTGGAAATTGGGTAGGACAAAATAGTTACGTTTATGCCAATAGTGGTCATTCGATTCATTTGTCTGGAGCCGATCAGAGTTTCTTCCAGGCATCTCTTCCAAGAGAGTCTACCGCCCCCCCCCCCCCCCCGAACGAGATGGATTTTATGTAGTAAACATACACTTTTACTGGGGATTTTTTATCCTTATTTTTCTAGGACCACTAAAAACCCATGCCTAATACTAATAGTTACTAATATAATAGGTCTAATAAACAATATTAAAATTAAAAATGATAAAGGGCCTTTTACTTTTATTATTATTATAGGTCATGGCACACTCACTCTTCAATAATGAGGTTTACAGTTGTGAAAAAAATGGCTTCCAAGAGAAAAATAGCAATTAAAGCTGTTGAGTTTTTCTTGCATAAGTATCCCATTGTAAATGCGTTAACATTGCTAATGCTATTCGCCGAAAGAGCAGCCAACGAAAGGTATTTCAAGAGAATGTTAAGAGCCCCAAGCATTAATTTGCTAACGGGATTAGAATATCCGTTCATTTAACCTTAGCTAAAGAGAAACTACCTGTTATCGATAAATGATATGATTGACTAAACTCACTATAACTTAACGAAAATTCTGATCATTAATGATAAATATTTGTTTTTCATAAAAAAAATACAGAATTTTTTTGTGTGTGCGTTTGTTGGCATTGGTGATTAGGCCTATTGTACTTCGGTAAAACTCCATTTGATTTTAGCGTATTTTATTCCCCGCTTGACGTTCACCTCCAGTTGAGCGTATTTTATTGTAAACACAACCAAAACACACAAAAACGTTAGGAAAACACAGATCTACCTATTTTTTTTTTATAAATGCTATTTTTTATTAGAAAAGGTAAAAAAAAACCATAAAAAAGCATTAAAACTGGTCCAATTATTCCAATTAACTATCGTGTGATCGTCAGCGTTAGAAAAATCCTTACACGCCTTACACTGTCGCGGTTTCACCGTGAGTTCACATTGACTTAAATTATCAGCATACGTCATAGCTCAGGCAATAGCTGTTTGAAATTGTGTTGGCCTTAGTTTTAGGGTCATTGTAAGTTCATTAATGTTTATTTATAGTATCATGCCTGGGAGATACTTGTAACAGTACAAACTTAACCGCCTTTGCAGCCAATTGTGAGTTACGTTTTTACGTATTTCACCCATTGCCATGAAAATTCTGACGCTTGGACATTGCACATTCAATATTCTGAATTTGGATTTTTCTCAACTTTTAACAAAAGTAAATTATCAAAATCTAAAAAAAAAGTCAATCTCTTTGCTTTTTTTTATTCATTTGTTAAAACAAAAATACAATACAAATAATAAATCGTGTTTTCCTAATGTTTAGGTGTGTTTCGGTTGTTATGATAAAATACGCTCAACTGGAGGTAAACAAGAAGCGGAGAATAAAATACGCTAAAATGGAGTTTTACCTTGTACTTCTGTGCTTAACTAACTAGCAGGGGTGCCACTTTCCAAGTTATTCCAGATTTTATTTTTGAAGTAACTTGGAAAAAGCATTCGGCCAGCGGGCCGTAGTTTGGAGACCCCTGTTCTAGACCAAGTAGTTTTTTATACGAATTTTCAAAGTTATGTGTTTAACAGATTATGTTTCATTGTAAATTGAATTCGAGAGTTGTGATTGCCTTTAAACTTGCATACCAATGTTGCTATTAAAGATATAATGATAAAACTTTGCACATTTGTGCTGAAGGATATAGGCAATAATAGAAGTCTGCAAGTAAAATAAAAATTAGAAAAAAGATAACTAGAAATAAAAGAAGTCAATAAGGGATGTGGCACTGTTCTATAGTGACTGCCATAGGATGATTTTGATACTGCACAGCTAGGTTGATATACCATATACCATTGTGAAACTTTACATATATTACATAAACATATTGATTCTGGTGTAAGTAATAAGATTGCTAGTATACACATTGTATAGGTAGTGTATAGAGTTAGACTAGAGCCGACAAAAACAGCACAATGATCGAGATACTTAACAATTTGTAATAAACTTTGCATTTGTGTCACTATATGGCATGGTAAGAATGTTATTATTAATTTAGAAAATGTTGGTTCTTGTAATGTTTCTGAAGCTAAGTGTTGAGAAGTGCTAGAACTCAAAGATTGACATTTCACAGAATTCTTATTTATGAAATGTTTATTGATTCATTAATACTACGTTATCTAGATCTAGTTAACCTGATATTAAAAAGGTTCCCAAGAGTGCCATACACTATGGATATAATGGGCTACTATAATCCTTAACAAAATTTAATCAGGAGTGTCCAGCAGCACCTGTGGCTCCCCCATGAGCACTATGATCCCAACATTAATTTTAAAGAGCACCCTACAGTTGGGACATGATGGCACATGATATTGGATGATTAAACTGAACCAGTAGCAGTAACCGACACTCAAGCACCTCCTATACCGAGGTGGATATAAATAATAAAATTAAAAGCAGTGCGTTGAGTATGGTATATGCTACACATTCAATTTAGCATATAGGTATAAATAACTCTGTCCAAACTTTTTTTTTACAGACGAAAAAATCCAGTTGGGTTTTATTTTATTTTAAATTAGCTTCTCTTACAAAGGAGTCATCATTTTTATGACTTTATAGTCTATCTAGTTAATGTAATCTATATTTTTAAAAATTCTTGTATTGTTTGAGAGGCCTAACTAAAATTAGTGGAATTCTTTAGTGTATTGAATCTTCCAATGATTGCTCTATATATTTTTTTGTTTTTTTCTTTCAATTTCAGTGCACCACCTATAAACCATAGGATCATTTATGCAAATCTTATTGGTTTTCTTGGCTGTGCTTTATTAATGTCATCAAACATTCAGAGAAAGGCAGCAGCACTTTTTTTTTGTGGACAGCTAGGCTATTTTACATATGTATTTTACAGTAACAAAAAATTAAACTATAAAGAATGGCTGCGGGTAAGTTTACTTTTTATTATTTACATTTTATTATAAGTTTTCTGAGTAATTATAAACATGTTAAATTAATATCATGTTTAATTTTACAGCTTCAAACAAATTATAAAACACAGCTTTATCTTTTCCGCTTAGGTTAATCTGCTTCTTTTGGATTCTTCTGTCTAGGGGATAATGTAGGACAACACAAGACATATTGCACAATACAATAGACTCTACAATACTAATAATGATAATAAATAATAAGAATAATGGTTAATACATAAAGATAAACATAAAGATGGCAGACAAAGACACCCACACCTAATACAACATGACGAAGACTTCCACACCCTCACGCGACAAGACCAAGACTGACTTCAACTCCTTCCCCTAACAACAAAATCATTTTCTCACATGTCACATCCTTACTTGCCTTGTCACATTCAACATCTTTTATTAATATAACACATTCCACTACACACATACTCTCATAACCATTCAGTACACTAAAATACCATTCACAACACTAATGGTTGTACTCACTGAGGCTTATGACACATAACTACGGGAACAGGGTCGTGTTCACACTGTCTCTGTTCTATGGGCATCATTATTTAAATATCTAATTTTTAGCATGATTATTTTTATTTTGTTATTTTTAAAGTACTGATAAAAAATCAAAGTATATCATCTTACGTTTGACATGTTCAGAGGCATTATTGACAAAGGTGGAGGAAGTGCAAGATAAACAAAATAATAAAAAAGTTTTCATTTTTCAAACAGTTACAAGTGTGTACAAGACAAGTTGGCTGTATAGGGATATACTTGTTATTTGCCTATGTCATTGACAGGCGTAAATCTGTTCCACTGAGGCGTTTTGCAGAAATCATCATGGGGCTGTACCTTTTTGCCTTCACCTATCTGATAAACAATGTTCATGAGGTAGGGCATAATTTAGTCTCTTTTGTTGAAATATAAGATTAAGTGCATGTGAGAAAATAAAAATATCAAATCAAAATAACATATGCTTCTTTACGTGAAAAAACTAGGTTTAGTTTCATTCTTTTACCCTATACATATCTGAAAAAAAAATCATATTTATCCAAAGTTGCTTATTTTTTTACCTGTTTATCCCTGAAAGCTGAATTTTACAAGATTTTGTTGTCAATAGTTTTTAAGTATGATGATAAAATATTGTAAATCAATTTTTCAAGTTTCACTTGTTGATGACCAAGGTAAAAGCATGCTATTTGTGATATGCACAGTAACATGGAAAGTGGCCCAAGCTCCAGCACATAGCTTCAGTGCTCAATAAACTGATTTAGATATATCTTGAACATGAGATAAGAACAGTTTAAGATACATACATCTGATAGAATTAGCAATCGACAGTCTAGAGGGAAATATTTGATAGAAAATGGGAATGGAGGGGGCACACTCAGAAAGGCCTGAAACCATACAGACAGATAAACCAGGGGGAAGAGGGAGAGGCCAAGAATCATCTGGGAGAGATCTTTTGAAAAGGAGAAGCTAGATTGACATGGCCAGCGGTATAAAAACAAATTCCACAAATCAAGTTTGGTGGAGTGTAATCTCATCACTAGGTTTGCTAGAGAGCCAAAAAAAAATCAGATGAATATGTATATTCATCACACATCTGATTAAAATTTTTAAAAATAAAAAATAATTTGTTTCAGGTTCCTGTAACAATCAAAATTATTTTTAAAAAAAAACAACTGAAACCAAGTTTTAAATAAGTAAACAAAAATAAAGTTATGTGTTTTTGTTTCAGGTTCGGAGTGGTGTTTTAAGTCACATGATTGGAGGTGAATGGGGAAGGTATGTTGTCACTGTTCTCATAGCAGCCTGCGCCCTCAGTTTTTTCTCAGGATATTTCTTGCGTGATATGTCATTGTGTGCAGCCGTTGTCATAGCTTTCATGGTTTGTACAGTGGACTCTGATGTTGACTACTGGTCAAGGAAAGGTGTCCATTATTGGAACCAGATTAGAATGATTGCAGACAGTCTTTGTGTTTGTGTTGGATTGATTTATGCATTTTTTCATCTTGAAAATAGAGTGAAAATGGACTAATTTATTATATATTTATATTTAGTAGCTAAATATACGTGCAATTTCCTTTACACAAATTTGAATTAACATATTGCTTTTGTAAATGGTTTTCTTTACATATTTTTATTGGAGAGTTTTTAAAATGTGTGTTGCTATAATTTAGCCAATGTTTTATAAAGTAAAGTGAATCTATACAATTTGAATAACTGGCTGTCATATTCTAATTGTAAGTTAAATGGTTGCTAGATTTCCTATCTTGTAAAAGAAAATTTAATAAGCTACAATAAACAAAATAGACTACACTATCACATAGCCGTTTATAGGTATTTGAGTTTATTTACATATATAAAGTTTATGTTTATTATTTACTTGTTTTTTTTATTCTAATTTTTGCTCAACTTGTACTGTATTGTGATATTTTTTGTGAAGCAAATTTGATATCTATACCTTAAGATTTTGTAAATGAATCTTGTTGATAGGAAATTGTAAAACTATTTACTAGAATGTATGAACTGGACTTTTATAGGCAGAAATTACCCATTTATAATTAAATCTTTAGCCTTAGTAGATCCTAGGTGAGATTGTTCTGTTGGTTTGGTTGTGAAGATGATTATTGAGAATAAATGTGTTTTTATCTAATTAGTCTATGAACCACCTGGTAAATCAATATGTGAAGTGGAATACACTTATTTTTAAAATATCTGTTTGCTTGTGTTTATTAAAGTAAGTCCATTACATGACTTTTTTGTTTGTTACAGGAATTAAGAATTATATTTTTTAACAATACATGACATTTTAATTCAAAACATGCCTTTCATCTCATTTATTTTTCAGTTATTTTGTGTGCAAATTAGTAGAGTCTAATTTTTTGTTAGCAAAGGCCACAGATGTGATTAATAAAAATCTACAATTGATTTAACAAAAAGACTAATCAGATGTATATTTTAAAAATTCTAATGCTTTTAATTAATATTTGTTGTTACAAAAATGTATGCAGTGTTGTTTTGCATTTAACATGCTCTAGATGAAAAGACTGGAATATATAGTTTTTAATTAATTTAGTTCACCGAATCATTTTCTCTGTATTGATAGTTGTTACTATGTTCTGTTTAGTATTTTGAGGTTAAATAGTACATTACCCAGTAAAGTGCAAATAATTGTTTAAAATTTACATAGGTTATAAATTTTTAAAAATTAATTAGATTGAATGGAATCAAATTGCAAAAAAATGTAGAGTAACTTAAATAAACTGATATAATTATAATATAATAAAAGATGACTAATTACCTTTGAATGACATATTTCATCTAAGATCTGATGAATGCATCCATTTGATTTAGTTTTTCCATATCAGTAATTTTAATTTATTTTTATTACATCTTTAAACACAGTTTAAATTTGTTTAAATTGTTGTACTGGTAAAGTAAATGTGAAAAGAATATTTAAAATAATACCTTACAAAACTTTTAAACTCTTTTCTTTAAATTTTATTGTTTGTGCATGTTTTAAATTGTTATACAACTCTTACAGCATATTTTCCAAACCAATGCTTAACTTTATGATACATCTTTATTAAAATATTTAACAATGATAATTTATTTTTTCTTAGTTTCATTTTATATTTACTTGAGTTTTATCAAATTTGCTTGATTCACATTGTGTAAATGACTTGACACCATACTATAAATATATACACACACAAATTATATAAATTGTAGCTTTATAAACCTGGGAAACAGGACATTATGCCTTCTCCCACCCTCCCGTCCCCCAGACAATTAGAGATAAGGGTACCATAAGGATAAGTTAGGGAAAAGTTAGTTCTAGGTTAAAAAAGCTTATTCTGTCAGTTTCCCAGTTTCATGTACTATAGATGCCTAGCCTAGTTAAATGTATTTTGTATTTCATCTTTCAGCCAATGAAAGGCATTCACTGGTACTCCTTGTTATTTTACACCCTCTGACCCTCATTGCAGATACATAGACTATAATATGCAATCTTAAGGAGGGAGGGGTAATTGATCCATTAAATGAATTAGAAATTTCTTTTAAAAAATTAATTCATTTACGTCAAATAATTTAAAGAGTAGTAAATATGTTGTTATGTATGTATGTATAGTTGTCCTTTGCAATGCAGTCACATGGCACATAGTTTTTGTCTGGAAGAAACACTGTTATGGATCATAATTGTTTGGGCTGTTTACTTGTCTGTATAGTCTTTGTTTATGCATGTTACTCTTCTAATGCCCATGTATGTAACCCTAGGACAGGTAGATACTTACTTAGGTTTAGCCTTAATGTAATAAACCAACCTGAGCCTATCTTGGTCAACACATAAATTGCCCGCCAATAATAAAAATTATCTGCCAATAAAATAATACTATTTTTTGTGTAGAGGGTATGAAATACATATGTTCTCAGTGGAGAACACCAAGAGCCAGCATTTGAGTTTTCCGACTACTTCATTCAACCCAAGGCCACGTGTAGTTGAGTATTTTCGCACCATGTGTGTTATAGGCTAGTAGCCTACAAACAGACAGGGGTTGGCCTATAAACAAAAAAACATGGCGAGAAGTTAAACGGCAGCAGATATTCTAAAACATCACATCCACACCCGGTATCAATATATGACGTAGATCTAGGTCACTACCCACCAGTGGCGTGCAGAGGGGGGGGCGGAGGGGGCCCAGGCCCCGGGCAGCCACATCAAAGGGGCATCCAAAGGGGGTAAAAAATGATTTTTTTTTTAAATTTTCTAATTTTCTTTTAATTTTTTTTTTTTTTTTTTTTTTTTTTTTTTAGGAAAGCTAAATGTCTACTAAGGTTTGTCTACCTAGGCAGAATTATCAAATTATCACAATTTGCCGAATTCACCGAAATGTGTATATACAATCAAAACATGGCACTGATATAGTCATCGTACTGTCCGTGTCGTGCAACCTTCAGGGAGAAAGGGGCATCGGTGAAGGATAGTGGTGTAGTAGTCATTGATATTCCCCGAATAAATGTATGCAGTCTTTCAATTAATAGAGTATCTGATACTTGTGTAGGTAGGGGCATCTTTTAGAGAACACGCCCATAATCATTTTATACACTTGTGGTCATCCATAGAGTATTAAAGCCCATGATTATAATTTACACACTGTAGGGGCATCTTTTAGAGAACACGCCCATAATCATTTTATACACTTGTGGTCATCCATAGAGTATTAAAGCACATGATTATAATTTACACACTGTAGGGGCATCTTTTAGAGAACACGCCCATAATCAATTTATACACTTGTGGTCATCCATTGAGTATTAAAGCCCATGATTATAATTTACACACTGTAGGGGCATCTTTTAGAGAACACGCCCATAATCATTTTATACTTTGTGGTCATCCATAGAGTATTAAAGCCCATGATTATAATTTACACACTGTAGGGGCATCTTTTAGAGAACACGCCCATAATCAATTTATACACTTGTGGTCATCCATTGAGTATTAAAGCCCATGATTATAATTTACACACTGTAGGGGCATCTTTTAGAGAACACGCCCATAATCATTTTATACTTTGTGGTCATCCATAGAGTATTAAAGCCCATGATTATAATTTACACACTGTAGGGGCATCTTTAATGTAATTTGCTTATATTCATCATAATACTTTTGAAGGGCATCCAAACAGTAATTATGCCCACATTCATTTTATATATCGTCAGGGCAACTTTAAAGTAATTTACTTGTATTCACGTTTGTATTTATATAATTACAGCAATTATGCCCATATTCGTTTATATATTATCGGATATTTATTATGCTTATATTCATTATTGAATGTCTGAAGGGCATCCCTACAGTAATTATGCCCTTGTTCGCTTCATATTTTATCGGGCATCTTTATTATGTTTCTATTCATTGCATAATGTTTGTAGGGCATCCTTATTCATTTTGATGGACGTAACGGCATTCGTAGACTGATTAAGCGCACATCCTCTCGGTTTTTTCTTATTCTAATGATATTCTTTATTCATGGCCATTTGGATTTTTGTGTACGGTTAAATACAAACTTTCAAGTCCGTACTGTTTTGATCCACTGGGCCGGGCCGAGTTAACTTCATTCTAAAGTTGTCCTTAAGTCTCACACTTCTTAATTACCGGCATTCGCGGCCGCCCGGTCGTACTGTCCAAAAACACATAAATAAGGTGTAGCTGGCTGTCACTTGTTTCCCCCCCCCCCCCTCACTTTAGGCACAAACCTTCTATTGTAAGACCGGTAATGTAATACCTAGACGCTCTATTGGCACGGCCAGAGATCCAGTAATGTAGTACTCGAATCTGGAGACTTTTTTTTTGGGATGTTCCATCCCATAGCCATATATTTAAATGCACAGTCTGCGTGATCTTTCACCTCCCCCCCCCCCAACTTTCACCCACCCCAAAGCCAAGGCATCTACTGTCACCCACCCCTAAACCCTACACTACTGAGCGTTCTTATTACATTTGAGAGACATTTCTCTTGGATTCTATAGCCGAAAACGGTGTTTTTCCCACAATTCGAACTAATTATATAAAGTGTCCAAATCTGTCAATGGTTTCCTATTTGTTTTAATTTTAACCACTAATGCTTGTTGATATTGTAATTTGTCTAAAATTGTGTGCTTACTAACACTGTCTCTTTATATAATATACCTAAACGCATGACTTTTATTCTAACCACTGGCCATTGAACGAACAATTTAAACCACTTTATTGCATTAGAGCGATTTTCGAATAATTTATTTTATTTTTGCTTGTGATTAAAAGGGCATTTGCAGATGAAGTAAGCCCGTATTATTTTTAGATAACTTGTAGGGGCACCCAAGAGAATTTATTCGGTTTTGATGCATATGAATATACTAAAGAATAAGAATGTCCGTATTGTTTCTGAGACACTGTAAGGACACCCTCAAGAATAAGCATCAACAGATTTTTAATATACATTGTAGTTATATCATTTCAAACAATTGTGCCCATTTTATTTTTTATCAATTGTAGGGCATACTGAAAGTTGTGTTAAAGTATTTTAATGCAAAGTAAAGTTATCTGTAAAGTAAATGGGCGCTTAAATAGAACTGATGTTATAAATAGTAGAGCCACCTGTAAAGTAAGTGAGTCCACGTTGATTTAATGAATTGTGGGAGTTATAACGACCCTGGTAGCCGTTACTGGATTAATTCCCACACAGGGTTTGCATATGAATACTTGGGGCCTAGAGCCGACCATTAAGTGCGGGCCCCAAGTTTAGCGATACTAAAATTCTATCAAACATCGACAATGCGCACAAGCAGAAATCGCTGTGCTCTATGACTAGAATCGATCTTTTCTCAATGTATCGAGTTAAGACGAGACGCTTTATTCCTACGTATCCGACTACTTCGACGTACGAGACAAGACTAGCATTTTTTAGGTCCGTAACTAGTACAGGCATCCACAAAAAATACACCTACATTGGTCAGAATACAATAGGGTATCCCAAATTTACATACCAGGTACAAGGGGGTGGAGGCGGAGGGGGAGGGGGAAGGGCTCACTCAATCAACCCATCGCCAGCCACCAAACAATCACCCGGCGACCGTGGTTCTCTTCCCTGCACACGAGGTGTGCCACCAATGTGTTTCTATAAAATACAGCATTGTTCAAGTTCGAGATGGGGAGGGTAACTTACTAGGCCTAACATCAACCGTGGCCTCAGTCGTAGCAATAAACAATGGCGAACTTTGACCTTTTAGTTTTTTTCCAATTTAATTCAACGGTGACCGCAGCCCGACCCCGGTAGGGTAATGGAAACTGTAAATTCTTTTGTTGGGCTTGGCATATAGCCCCCCCCCCCCCCAACATCCGGCATGTCCCCAAACTGTTTTCTCCCTCCCCGAATGAGTCAGTCATTCTTTTGGATATATATGCATGGAGTCTTCTCAAGAGTTCAGCTAAGTCAATTTTTTAAAATGCTTTTCTATTGGTATTCTGATTAATACCATAATGTGTGTTATAATTTATCGTCAATAGTAGGGCTACTAACGCTTTAAACACCGTAATTTATATATATATATATATATATATATATATATATATATATATATATATATATATATATATATATATACAATTTATGGGGGCATCTTCCTTTGGTTTTGCCCCGGGCAGCAACATAGCTCTGCACGCCACTGCTACCCACTTGAGGTGCATACGTCCGATTGATCGGGTAACCGTGACTCGACAAATTCCCGGCCGTGTTTACCCACCACCCCACCGTCACACTAACAGATTCAGCCGGGGTAGGTCACACAAACAGATTTAGCGAATGTACTGAGCTAGATCGGTAGTATCAAACTTCGTAGTTCATTCACGCCACCGTTTGATACAAGCCAACAGGCTCAGTCAAGTAGTTGGTAGCCAGATCACCTGCAGCACATCTCTAGTGTGTAAGTACTTTGGTCTACTATGGTACAAGACTTTGTTTTTTAAAATGTGTATCAGCAACAGCGGTGTAAACACTTCTAGAAGATCTAACTACTAACTGGGTAAGAGGATTGAATACATGGCACTCTCCATACATTAAATTTATTATAAGATGTCATATAATCTAACATTCTCTTTGAATCTGTAACTATTAAATTTATAACGCTAAATAGTAACTACTAGTCGCATGTAGCCTATACAGTTAGTAGCATATAAGCTACAAGTTGTTTCTTTATTAAGAACTAATTTGATTGAGTGTACAAAAAGAAACAGCAGCCCAGACTTGGCTATAAAATTTAAAGTCGCACTTTTAATAAGGTTTAAACCAGATCAGAACTATTTGAATTATCCACCAGTTAAACTAATAACTTCAGCTGTTTATCAAACACATGTACTTTTTACATCGCCCTAGTAGCCTACATTTAATTTTTTTTTAAATGCTTTACTTTTTGTGTTGTTTCTGTGTGTGTTTAAAGCATGTCTGAAGGAGAAAACAGCATCGACATGGAAAGGTTTCGATCCCTGGGCCGCTCGGCGTTTGTTTTGGGCTACACAGGCGAGGTGGGGAAGGTTCTGGTGGATGAGCTCAACAAATCCAAGATCTTCAAACGTGTTGTTCTCATTGGGCGCCGCCAAGTCCCGCTCTCACTTGGACCAGAATTTGTAAGTCCAACTTGTCAGAAATTTTACCGTGTAAAATACCGTGATATATTCCTATCTATATAATATAATAAATATCAAAGTAGTCCATATCCGACAAGATCTATGTGTTACCGACGGTTCGAATTCCAACATTATATATAATTTACGGATTTAAATAAATCCGTAAATTATATATATATATATTTAAAATATATTTTAATAAAATATTTAAATATATATATATATATATATATATTATATATATATATATATATATATATATATATATATATATATATATATATATATATATATATATATATATATTCAAGTGCCCCCCCACCCCAGAAAAAACTCTGAAAGAAACACTGTCGGGGACCGACAACGCACTCAAGGTCCAAATTTTTTCTCAAATTGTTCTTCACGTAGGCCTACTTCATTCTTGATAAAATTTGAATGCTGTTCCAAAATTTGAAAGGTACTTTGATGAAAAAGTTTGAATATTAGGAAACATTTTTTTTTCGGGGACAAAAAGATCTCCGAGGGTCGGATGAGAGGACCTCGCGGGCCGGCATGGGCCGCATCCGGCCCGCATGCCGTAGTTTGGAGACCCCTGTTCTATATGATGAAAAACTGACAGCTTGAACCCCGAAAGTCTCGAGTTCAGGTTCCTGTCTATAGTCGTGATGTCATAGACAGAGTTTCTTCCATGCATCTCTTCGGGGGTGGGGGGGGGGGAGCGGCACCGCACCCCCCCCCCCCCCCGAAGTAAGTCTACCGCCCCCCCCCCCAACGAAATGGAAATTATATAGAAAGTTTTTAACTTTTGACAGTGTCGTCGTCCCCCCCCCCCCCCCCGAAAATAGTTGTCCGCCCCCCCCCCGAAAATTTCAAGTGCACCCCCGGAGAAAAAAGTCTGGAAGAAACACTGGTCACAGAAACAGGTGGACTCTATTTTCCTGCCCCATGGACCGCCAGGTCGAAAAGGAAATTTACTATTCTGAATTAAAAAACACAAGACAAACATTAGCCTAGGCCAGGCTCACATAAAGCGTTCCGTCAATGACATCACGCAGATTAAAAAAAAAACTCCCACACTTTACTGTTACACATGGTCACATAAATCACAAACTACGTCCACCCTAAAATGACGTCACACAAGATCGCCAGTGTCACTTATAGGGCTGGTAAGTAGGTCACCAACCAGTTCTACGGCTCAATGAAACCTGCATGAGCCATAGAACTGGTTGGTGACCTACTTACCAGCACTATAAAAAGGAAATAAAAATTTGTTCGTTCTTTTTGTTTCTAATAAATTAAAAACATATTAGTATTTTAGGATATTGATGACTGTCTCCAATACTGCAAAAATATTTTGGTCCAATTATATTTATTAAATCGATTAAAGGAACAGAAAGTTATCGACTTCGATAAAGTAGAAGACCACAAAGACGTCTTTACCAGTTTGGACTGTGGGTTCTGTTGCCTGGGTACAACAAGAGGGAAGTCAGGAAAGGTAAGTGGAGATTTTGGGTTAGGTAGTCTACAGCTGGATATCTCAGCGCCTAAACCTGAATAGGACAATACGGCCTAAACAGTATTAGTCCTTTGCATTCTGTAGCCATTTTAAGTAATAAAAATAAAACGATCGCACATTTTTTAATATGATTACTTAATGTATGTTTGGTAGGAAGGCTTCATAAAAATCGACCGCGACTATGTTTTGAACTCAGCAGAAGTGGCCAGGTCCCAGGGCTGTAAACATTTCTCTTTAGTCTCCAGCCAAGGGGCAAACAAAAACAGCTATTTACTTTATCCCAAGATAAAGGTAATGCGCATTACTACGTTTTACATTTTAAAATAATTTTTAGGCTAGATTTAGTCTATTACTTGTTCAGAATGTCGAAATTATTTGAACTAGTGAATAATTATGTTTCATTTTGGCAGGGCGAAGTAGAAGAGAAGCTAGGAGCAATGGAATTTGATCGCCTTTCTATCTACAGGCCAGGGTAAGTTCCATTAAATTTAATTAAAATTTACAAAAGTGTGACGTCACACTTTTTAAAATTTAATTTACATTAAAAAAAATTAAAACTAAATTTTGTTTTCCCCGTTTGAAAAGACTTTTGAAGAAAACATGATCAAAGTAGGCCTTTATTATAGATCTAATTGTGGCTGGAATTCGCAAAAATAATAAATGAGCGATTTTTTTAGCAAGGTACCCGTAGCATGCAAACCATGTTAGTAATTGTTACTAAGTAAAAACCTTGGTTAAATCCCCCGTAAAATGGGAAACAACTCACTAAGAAAAAATAATTGATGTATAAAAAAAGAGGTGGTGAGCTGTTGGAGATTAAAGAAAAGAGTAGCCTGGTGTTTTATTGGGGTAAGGGATCGGGGGGGGGGGGGGATGGCTTTGAATGATTCTAGTGATGCGTTATTCGGAATGAAGGGGATGGGGGGACATGGATGGATACAAAATTGGTACAAAAGTGCTGTGTCTTTATTTCTTTCTTTATGTTTTTCTGCAGCCTTTTACTATGTAATCGCCAAGAGAGAAGAGTGGGTGAGAAAATTATCACAGTTGTCCTCAAGCCTATTACGTATCTTTTCCCTACTTTGATGTCAGCGCCAGTAAGAACGGTTGCCAAAGCTATGATTAACAATGTCACCAAGCAAGTGGACGGTACCAACATCAGAGAACTTTACGAAAACAAAGACATTCACCACATTTCACAATCGGCCACAAGCTAAAGACAGAGATTACAAGGACTAAAATAAATAAATTATTATAAATGAATCGGCTGGGACAGCAGAACGATATTATTAAGTTGTGTAGGTTGTCTCAATTTGCTGCATTTTGTTTTTGTCTCTATATTTTCCGATGGCATAAAAAGTGAAGTCAAACTCTGTATAAATACACAGCCTAATAATTTATATAGGGGTGACCATATAATCCAATGCTATATAGCATGGACCCCACACCCCTATAAATATAGCATATATTTACTATATATATAGCCTATATATATATAAATATATATAGCCTATATATATATATACATATATATATATATATATATATATATATACATATATATATATATATATATATATATATATATATATATATATATATATATATATATATATATATATATATATATATATATATATATATATGATTGTATGCATGGAAAGATTTTTTAACCCCTCCCATGACCAATTCTTGGCTACACCACTGCTATATAGTATTCAATATTCACACACTCATTCATTGTGTGCTTAGAAAACACCCAGTGTTTGGTGCTCACAAACCTTTAAAATATGCAAATTATTCAGTTGTTTGATGACTGTCACCATTGAACACAATACAGCTCAATGAACAAGCTTCCATGTAGTGTACTAGGGTAACTAAAGCTAAACATTCTTGTAGAAACTAACTTTATCAGGGTAAAACAAAATTCATGTTTGGCCTATACTGACATTATATCAGTCTTATATTTTCTATTTTTCCTGGTAAAGACATACTATAAATTATTCATTATTGCACACATCAGGTTTATTAGGACAAAATTAAGGGACCACATTTTTAAAATTTTCAACTAAACGCCTTAAAAAACAGGTTCACAACTTTCTAATTGTCATTAACATGTTGCAGTGAGTTTTGTATGTGTGGTCATGCCTGTGTGTTTGTCAATTCCTGATTGTTTGCCAAGTGGGCATGTATAGTGTCAGCTGTCATGTGTGTAAGCACCAATGAATGTCAGATCAATGTAATATGTAATATGTGATATTTGTCAAATATGTGTGATATAACAGAAATACATTTCTGAAAATTATCAGAAATTGCTTTGTGAGAATATATTAAATAATCAAATAAAAAAATCTGCAGGTTTTTGAGTAAAATATCCCAATCTTTTTCCGGAAATCATTGTTATGTTTATTGAAATCTACATATACTAGCTAATACATATGTAAGTTAATCAACTTCACTAAAAGGGTACTCAGGTTATTGGTATTTTAGAAACAGGAAATGAAGTATCACTTCCAGATAATGGAGGTCATTAAAAAAATTATTAAATAAGATTCTTAGAGGGAAGGGAATTTAACCACACTCATGATATTTAGTTTACATTTTACTCTGTGAAGAAGCACTTCATACTTGAAGACTTCATTTACTAGAATTGAGTTATTCAAATGTAAAAATGTTTGAAAATATATCTGGACTTAGTTGTTGGGGTGCAAGTTTGTGTGTGCTGTATGAAAATTGTGATTGTATATTGATTACACTCTACAATGGTGAGGTAGAACAACCCCCTGGTGACCACCCTGATGTCAGGGGGTGCTATTGGGAGCCACTGATTACATTACTGCAGGGAATCGACCCCTGGTATGCTTTACTTATCAATTGTAGTAGCCCACTGTATCCCTCGTGTATGAGCTCTTTGAAAAGAGTGCAGGCGCTATGATGCTCAAGAGTGAGAGGGGGCGCTCTGGGTCACATGACCACCAGGACAAACAATGAACAGACCCAGGGTGCTAACACAAGGAAACTCTTGGGCGCCACCCTCCGAAATTTTTTTTATGGCAGAAACCTTCCCAGGAGTATTCTCTACAACTTCCCACAGTTTCATGATGATTGGATAAACGGTGAAGTAATGCATAAAAGACCCACAGACATTAATTTTTATATATTTAAAAGGGCTAATCTTAACTCCACTGTAATCTTAGTTACATCAAGAAAAAGACTTAATATTTTTTAAAGCCAAGCATTTGGTCTTGGTCTAACTTGTAATTAAAATAACATATAGACAGAGACCTTATTTACAGCATGAAATTGAGTTTAATGTGTAAACATTTTATGCGAGCATGAAAAACAATGATGCAGAACATATTTCATTATTTTAAAAATAAAAACTTTTGGTATCAACACTAACAGTAAAACAACAGGTTTGTATAGCAGCGTGTAGAGAGTGGAACATGGGGTTGGGGAACATGGGGTTGGGGAACATTGGGTAGTGACCTGGTCATATGCTGACAACAACATGGCAATGATTTAAATTTGTGTCAATAAGCAACAATTTCATGGATGCTCTTAATATTTTTGAAACTCTAGACCATACAAAACAACATCATGCAAGTGTGAAGAAACAGCTAACACAACATTGCTACTTTAAACATCCCAAAACCAACAGAATAAATTTGGTCTAATCATAGCAAAACATTAAATACAATCTGGCTGTTAAGCCAACATGAGATAATGAATGTAAATATAAAACATAAATTTAGTTATATGAGAAGCATGAAGAAAAAAATTATTTAAACCAACAAAAAAAACAAGCATATCACTTTTTAATGTCTTTGTACATTCAGTGCTAAATGTACACACATGCAAATGACATAGCATAAAATAAAATTTCATTAAACACATTTTTCTAGACTTGTAATACATATCATACAATCCAAAGAAATTTTCCTGCATATCAAGCAACAGTCAACAAGGTCATTTCAAAACTCTGGTAAAATCATGTTATTTATTTACATTGTAAATAATGCATTGCAATAAATAAGAAACAGCCAGATAGGGATGAGCTGTTCAGTACAATTTAATGCTATTAAAAACACTTGCAAACATTATCACAAAAGAAATAATTTAAAAAAAATGTTTTCAACAATCAAATTACTATCACACTGAAGTTTTTAAAACTCATTCAAACCACTTTAAATAAATTATTCTTTTTAAACATTCACAAAGCAATTTTCAGACAACCAATAATAAAACAACCAAATTTACAACATAAAACAGAACACGTAATGAAACAACATACTACACTGTTTTTTTACTATTATAAATAAATGCAAAGCTCTTCAATACTTTTATAGTGGACCCATTGATCATTTGTTAGAACTTTAGTGAATTGTTTGCATGACTTCAGATAGCTTGAGTAGGCAAGAGTGATCCAGTAATTGTAATGCCAACCAATCACATAGTTCTTGTATATGTTGCATTAAATTCATGAGCCAATATTTTAACAACAAAGAAAATAAAGATTGAGATTTCACAAAGTACCAAGATGAGATTTTGTCTGACCAACTCAGAGGATGTCAGGCAAGTTGAAATCCTCCATGAAGTTTTGGCTTGGCTGGCTGCTCATCTGACCCATCCCTGCTCCCTGCATGCCCTGCTGACCTGGCCCCATCACACCTCCGGCCTGGCCACCAGGACCCATCACATTACCTTGACCTTGGGGGTTTCCACCTCTCATCATCATCAGCTGTTGTTGACGAAGCTGCTGCTGTTGTTGTTGTTGTTGTTGAGTCTGAAGATAACAATTGGCCAACATTAAATCTTCTAAGTACATCATCTAAAAACATCTGAGTAGATCATCTTTAGTACATCATTGTGATAAAATTGAGGTAATATGGAAACTAATTCTATAATTGAAAGTTTGTGCGCTAAAGTTCTCCTATAGATCATTGTTTTACATTGAACAAAAACAAATCACAAAGAACAGTTAACAGTAAAATATCAGCCATCTACAAGTATTTGTATAGACCAAATGAGACTATATCCTCCCAATCCAATACAAGTGAATTCTTTAGGTTTAGTTAGTGCCAGTGTCAGAGACCAACTGATCTTGCTATCATCACAAAACTGGTTGTTTCTATCCAGACTACACTGCTCTTGCTCCAGCAACATTTAAATAACTTGGTGCACATATAAGTTACTAGAAAACTCATAGCACTTACATTGACAAGAAGATGTCGGAGCTGTGGGTTTGACATTTGTTGCTGCTGTTGCTGCTGCATTTGGATTCGCTGCAGTTGTTGCTGTTGTTGTTGCTGAATTTTAGCTCGATGTGCTATGGTAATTAAAAAAAAACATGATAAAGTTGTTATAGTGCTTACAATTATTTTGTGAATGTTCTTATAATTTAACTTTAAGAGGAAATTTTCTGATACACATAGACCTTTAGAAAATTGAAAAAAAAAAAGAAATTATGTGTAATTTTTAAAATTGAGTTATAAAGTTTAAAATCATAAAATGTATGTTTAAATATGTCTTTTAACATAGTAGCCAATGCTGTGACTAGAGAGACGTGGTATTATTTACAGACAAAACTGGCGAGGAACAGCTCAAATACAACAATTATTTTGATTTAAGAGTTGTAAGTTCACTGATAATTTGTGCGCTGCTTTGTTGTAATTCACAAACAACATTGTATCTCAGTTAAAATTGAGATTTGAGTATAATAATTTAATTTGATAATCTGGAGCAATTAGTTTTAAGAAAGAAGGAATCACAAGTGATAGTTTATATTTTTGTTTTACTTGAACAAAGAAAAAATATAAAAAAAACAACAACCCAAAACCGTCATGATAAACAAAAACCAGTATAAAAGAAGAAAAGTTCCAAATGGTTATAGTTAGGGACTGAGACATCGCTAAAAAGGAAATAATTTGCTGAAATATTATAATAGTTTAAAAAACATACTATGTTCAAATTAATGTTTATGTTTTCAAAAATCTAAGTTGAATATTAATCAAATTTTAGTAATTATTATTGTTAACAGTAGGCTATATGGTATCATGGACAATTTTGTGTACCGTTATTTAGACAAGATAGACTTTCTGACTTAGTTTTAATAAGGTAGTTCACCTAAGCTTAAAACAAGAAAATAATTTTCTTTTAAAAATACTTATTTTATTTTCAAGAGGAAGAAACATTTTTTTGTTACAGAGGGCCTCTAGCTTTAAAGTGAGTATTTGTAAAGATGACTAATTTTTAGGCAGCTATTACAAAATCAGTGGTTCTAAAAGAATGATTATGCTTGAACAGATATCACAACACGTGTTATATTAATGTTTTAGTTGACTGTTTACTATTTGTTATTCAAAATTAAATCCACAATTTTATATTGTTTCATGTTTTGATGTAGGCCTACTAATTACTTAAATTATTTGCTCTTGAACAATCACTGGTTATGTGGGTCAGAAGTACACATTTTTCTCATCAGCTTTAGGAATGCCAAAATGTTTATTCTTCAGAAAATATGTAAGGGACAAGTAAAGCACAAAAATATTTTCCTCAATTTGTATGATAAAAATGCAGATGGCCATAATTTGTGTGGATAATATTTATTTACAATATTTATCCACTTAATTAAAAAAAAAAAAAAACCCATATATTTTCAGAATATCACATTTTGATTTTCTTTTAAACCTTAATTTTGTATGGTTTAAGTCAAATAACGAGATAATTTGATTTCATTAATAAAAAATGATGTGCAAGGTATATTTTGATTTCTGCATGAACGCCATAAGCAAAATTGCATAAAGTGTTGCTAAGATGTGAAAATGTATTTGCTCAGAGACATTTAGAATGTAACTGTTATAAGTATATCTAATAGAATTTAGATAATCAAGCAACTATTTAAGACCCATGCAAAATCACTGCAATACATGCTCAACTATTCCATAACTCAAAAACAAAGCCCCATAAACAATTAAAAAACAATGTATTTTCACACATGTAACTACAATTAGTATCCAAACATTTCCTTGAAAAATGTTTACAGGCTGTGATCCCCATCAGATTTAGCATGTAGACTTTGGAAACAAAACTTCATGTTTTGTATACAGTGTATGTGACCTGACCACAGTCACAGAACAAATATCTACTGTTGTTGTAGAGTGTATTTGTTCTGACCCCAGTCACAGAACAAATATCTACTGTTGTTGTAGAGTGTATTTGTTCTGATCCCAGTCACAGAACAAATATCTACTGTTGTTGTAGAGTGTATTTGTTCTGATCCCAGTCACAGAACAAATATCTACTGTTGTTGTAGAGTGTATTTGTTCTGACCACAGTCACGGAACAAATATCTACTGTTGTTGTAGAGTGTATTTGTTCTGACCCCAGTCACAGAACAAATATCTACTGTTGTTGTAGAGTGTATTTGTTCTGACCACAGTCACAGAACAAATATCTACTGTTGTTGTAGACTTTTCTGTCCTCAATATTCAGCCACATGCTGAATAACATCCATTACTTTATTTTGAAAGAAGAGTCAAATAAGCTAAGTTAACTATTTACTATGTTAAAAAAACATATTCTACTGAGTAATGATGTAAAACAATTTGATTTTCGTTTTAAAACCAGAATGAAATAAGCTATGCTGTTATAATATTCATCTTCAACAAACATGTTTTTATCTTAAGTCCCTAACCAACACCACTAATAGAACATTCCAGTTTAAACCTTAACCTAACTGTAAAACCAACACCTAAACAGAGTATACATTTTTATCAAGAAGCAAGGTTTTATTGTTTTAAGATGGACAATGCCACTAAAGATATTTTTAGAAATACAATTTAAAACAATTGAATGAGTGAATTTTGTGTGAACCATGTTGTTAAAAGAAATTTTGAACTGGATTCAGGAAACTGAATAAAGGAAGAGTGGAAATGGTGATCTAATTAAAGTGGTATCACTATCGTGGAACCTCCATACTATTGAAACCAAGTATATATTGTATTTGTAAAACAACACAGTACTCTATCTGTATACAAAACTATCTGATACTATCATGGCTGGGTGATTGGTTATTGTTTTAAAGTTAACAATAAAGTAAAAATCCCACCTGCCAAAGTACATAAGAGATGATTTGTATATCTTTAAAGCTTTTTATATGAAGGCATATTTTTCACACACCAAATCTAGGCTCTTCCCAGCATTAGGATCAGCTTAATTAAACAAAATTCTCTCAAAAACCAAACAACACAATAGATGGCTTACAGCAACAACTAAAGATGAAATATAGAGGTTCCACTGATATCCCTACGTTGTGGCAGAAGTGTAATGAGAGATCATATTGAAGACTATGATAATAAAATAAATGTTATTTGTAAACCCAGGCCACTCACAAAAAAAGATCACCAAGAAAAGTCACCAAAGTCACCAATGCACTAGTTTATGTGCACCAATCCCATAAGATGTACCACCTCAACTACAAATTGCTGTTGTGCATACATACCATGATAGAGGTAGTGGTGATGACTGGGGTAATACATATGTTCCTCTAGAAACAGTACAGGGAGTCAATGAACTCATATTTTATAGAAGGCAGTCAATCAGGACAAGAAATTTTTTATTTTTAAATTAGACAATGACAAGCCAACCTGTCAGCTTTACGTTGTCAGTGAAATGACAATAAGACAAGTAAACAATCTGGATGTACCACATCTTTCTCCATGGATCTACGAATCTAATTTAAGTAAAATTATCCACTAGGTATCATCTTAATGTTTTAAAGATTTTTAGCTGAGTGTTGCTTTGTTGCTAAAACAGTTACACACTTCCTCCTTCTGATCATATTAGCTGATATGGACACCCCACCTCCCACATTAAATTAGTTGATAATAAATAGTGAAATGGACACTCAATTTCCCCCCATCAATAGATAAATGACTTTACCAGATAAAAAATTTAAACTCCAATTTGACAATGATAAACCAAGCTAAACTTTTAATTTGTGTGCTTATTTGGGCCAATGTTACTTTCCCATTGGACAAGTTACTGATTAAAAATATCTAATACTTTTAATGTAGTTGGAAACCTTTATGGCATGAAAATTAAATTTGAGCAAAAAATGTATAAGGTAGACCACTCTAACCCCATTTGTTGACCAAAAAAAAACATTTGCAATAAGCAGCTGCAGAGTCAAACAAAGAAGCATAAAAGAATGTTAAGTTATATATGTGTGTAATGTTCTAAGTAGCTAGTTAGACATTTTATTATTGTTGGTCTAAGCATTTGTACCTTTCTCTCTCTGTACTTTCACTTATTTCAAATTCTAATAATGGCAATTTTTAAGAGAAATAGAATCTAATACTTTGAAAAAAACTTGGTATAAGACTTCTTTTTTATTTCCAACAAACAACAAGTGAATCAATTATGTGCTGTTCTATAGCATGGCAAATGTTGCAGACAGCCATTAAAAACTGAGCCAAAAGCACTAACAGTCAGGGGAGACAATGGGGTAAGCAAGCCTTACCTAGCATCTGCTGTTGCTGTTGTTGCTGCTGGGCCATGATGACCTTCTTCTGGTCCACACCCTGGGATGTCTGTTGCTGGAACTGGAGCTCTCGCTGTTTGGCTGCTTGCAGGTCATTCTGGAGACTCTGGATCATCTGCTGGAAAGACAGAAAATTACAATCTTCATTGATCTAGCATTTAAATAACTTGATGAGCTTATCATGGTATCACTCCCAGCTGTAGCTAGGAGAAAGAGAATTATCATCATAAATGAATGTAACATATATAAAACTTGAAATGTTTAGCATTGTTATTGAAATTGCAAGTAAAGAAAAACAGGTTTAAGAAATGTTTTTTTCTAAACAGATGTAATAAGACAGTCTTTATTTTAAAATACTTAAATACTGAGAGAGAGAGTGAAACATTTTCCATTATCTTAGCAAGTAATTGAAAAGTTTTAGCCAGAAATAGTGAGATTAAATCTGAACTTACAAGTTTATTAACTCTATTCACAGTATATGAAAAATAAAAGAAAACCTTATGCTTCCTAATCAATACTACTTAAATTCACTAAATATTTATTGATCTCCAAAAGAGATCAATTCATCTATAAATCAGTTGTCAAGAAGATACAGCATTTGGTCAAGTTTAAAACAGTAAAATGCACATTTTTATCATATTTTATGAAATATAAAACTAGTAAGATAAAAATTAAAATTTTGAAGGTTTAGTAACATTTTATATAGTAAACCTTATGTTTAAAACAAAATGGTAATTTTCTAATTCCCCTTAACACAAAAAAATCATGTCAGTATGTTTTTAACAGTAGAAAATGCTTTGGGGTTTGTATTATGGGGGTAATACAAACAATGGTATGTGGGTCCGTATTAAGATAGATGTTGCTTAATGGATCAATTATATAATTACAAATGTTTAGATGTAGGACATGATTGAGGTGTGCTGAAAGTGGATATTCAGGATAACACAACAACTAGTTCTTGAAAACAATCTCTAAGGAAATGGCTGCGGACAAAAAATGCATAAAAAGAAGAAAAATACTACAGAAATTAAACAATGGTAAAATAATACAGATAAAATTAACAATATACTCCCAAATGCTTATGGTTAAAAATTTCAAACAACTAAATAAATTATTTAATTATGGTCACATACAACCCATGTCGCTTCTTTTTTCAAACTCAACCTAATCAAAAGGTATATAAACCTTTTTCTGACATACAGTAGTTTATGTATATATTTTGTAAAGCACCATAATAGCATGTTAATTATAAATGAATTAGAAGTATGGGTTTACACACTAATCATACAAAAAGTGTATCAGCCTCAAGTTAATTAATGTTTAGCTCCTGATGGAACAGAATGTTTCTAGAATTTATCTTGTCTTTCATTTTTTGTTGATCAATATGTATGTTCAAATCAAGCAAATATTTAATTGTGAAAAGGTGCAAGACTAGTTAATGTCTACATACATATATATGGGCAGTAAAATTTAATAGTAGATAACAAAATGATTATAGATGTTTCCACTGACTTGTTATCATACAGAAGTTAAATAATCTATAGATAATTTAAACCATTAAGAGTTTAGTTTATACTACACATGAACAAGCATCTCTACACACAACACAAAGTTAGCACACTTATATTGAAATAGGTGTTAGTAGTTTTGTATACAACTTATGTCAAAAGTAGCAAAAAACTGGCTTAATTATTTTGTCTGTGTATATCAAACAATCAATATTACAACTAAAGCAAGCCGTTGTAGTAAAACAAGGAATGGGGGTCATAAACTGTTGGTTATAGATATGATCATTTCAATATTTATCAAGTGTGAATGAATGCAACTCAATTTAAAGGCTCTAAATTTTGCATACATTAGATAAAATGTGGTAAATGAAGCCAGTGTGAGTTCTATATTTAGTATTGCATATTAGAAGAAAAAAATGTTATGATAGATTGAAAGCAGTTTCTTGCAGCTGGTGGAAGCAAAGGTTATAAGTAGGTTGTCTGGTGATTACCAAATTAGCTTGTCTTGATTGGGTTGGTGCTGGCTGGCCCTGCTGTTGTTGTTGTTGTTGCTGCTGCTGCGGCTGTTGCTGCTGTTGGGGTGTCTGCTGTGTCACTTGTTGTTGTTGTTGGCCAGAGTTAACTGACATTGGGATCTAGTTTATTGCCAATTAAACAAATGCTTTTCAAGAGAAATCTAATCACTGGCTAAACCAAGGACTTATAAACACACACAATGCTGTTTATTTTATATACAACAGGTAGGTGTATTACAACACTACAACTAAATCCTTTACACAAAACAACCATCTAACTGAACACAAGAGTACATAAGTAAACAGACAATATTATGTGTATGTTTAAACACTCATGGAAAGTGCTTTAAAGCTTTAAAATGTTTATCAGCCACTTGTGATCTGCACGCACAAATTTACAACTTCCAAAAGGATTGGAGGGCACAACTAAGTGCAATAATAAACAAACACTGCGGTGAACAAAAAAAAATGTCAGGTCCAGGCTGAGACGGATGTTTTGTTTAAGGTTAAAAACTTTTGTTAAAAACTTTTGAGTGTCAAAGTAAAAGTACAAAATTTTTGAGTGTCCAAGTACTAAGAAAATGAAACAAGGTGTTTTAGCAGTAAATCAGATTCAGCAGCATCCTTAAATTAAGGAATGCTCATTTCAACTATAACAAAACTGTTATATCTTGTTACATTAATTAGGTTGATTTAAAGTTAGAACAATCCGGGCTGTCTTCATATTCTAAAAACCATCACCATTGAAAAAGTACCTTTAAATGTAATTACAGAATAGTTGAATGGTTAATACATGGTATCACTTTCTAGTGACCATGACCAATCTATGTGGATTTGAGTTAACCTACAAATTATTTTCACAGTTTAAACATAAAGTATAGAAAGATATTAAATATATATATTTTCACTAAATTTGAAAACTTCTGAATGAGCCTATATGTGTATTGAAATAAAACCACCACCAGACGTGAATTACTCAACTACATACCTGGCTTTGCAACATTCCCCCTGTATTTAAATTTCCAGCTGATGGTCCAGACGGAACAGGGGGCATAACTGAGTTTTGCATGACAGCCTGATTGCTCCCATTAGCTACAGCCATAGATGTAGTTGCAACCTGTTGTTGCTGAATAGATACAAATTTTACTCATGTTAAACCAATATTTACTTTGTAGCAATAGATAGATAAAAAAAAAACTAATTAAATATCCACACTTTATACAAATAAAAAAACAATTCACCTTTTGTCTGTAGCGAGCAACAAGAGTCTTGATACCTTGGACAATACCATTTTGATCATTGGGGATGAGACCAATAAATGATTTCTTCTTAGCACTGTACATAAGCAGAATAATTTTGGTGCCAGTAGATTGAACATGAAATCTAACACAGCCAGCCTGGAAACAAACAGAATTATGAAGACTTTTTTCAAATGATGTTTTTTTAAAACTCAAAATAAAAGCTAAGTACACTTTTAGATTTGACAGTCTACATGGCATATAAGTATAATATATCTATTTCAACAGCATTTAGAGGAGAAGTTCAGTCAGTACTTTGCCTAGCAAACTTATTCAGGGACCTTGGATGAATACAAAAAAAGGAAACTGAATTTGAGTCTTGCAAATTAGTAGTTGATTGCTGGTACTGCTTGTTACTTTACATCAAATCAAAATCTGTGCCCTATATAAAAGTTCTTCAAAGCTGTACAACTTTTTATGTACTTTACAGAATAGAAGAATCAACTTACAAATCCATGCCCCATGAGTGTGTAGAGATTCTGGAGAGCAGCTGGGTTAGGATTGGCATTGTTGTTTGGGAAGTGGAAGAATACTTGGCGTGAGTTTTTACACAGGGCCTGTAAACTGGACAGCATGGGTTGTGGCAATAGTTGAATGGTCAGTTTAGGTGGCCAGTCGGCTGTTGATCTTCAAGAAAAAAAAAACAAGTTTAAATCAGCATGAATGCTATCCCAAAAAAAAAAAACCAATTGATTTTATTGTACTATGTATTTATATGAAATTCGGAAGCAAATAAAGACATTCATCATTTTTTAAATATATTGACCTAATGAAATATTCACATAGTACTAGAAGAGTGTAAGACCTATGCTAGAAATCTACAACTTACATATCATTGTCTTGAACATCGACAGAAACATTGCAGTTGAGCAGGAAAGTAACATTTCTTTGATTAGATGATGGCATGTTTCGGTCCTGATACTCAAGGGTTCCTAAGAATCAACAATTTTAACACATCATTCTCAGACCAAATTAAAGCTCTTTATGATATTCACCATGGGGAAAACATTTAAGTCACTCAATGAATCTGATGGCCTCTAGCCATATTTACCTGACCAGATGATTTTCCTGTCCCGAGGTCCTGGCACCATGGGGAGTTGGTTTTGGTTCATCGGGTTCATTTGGTTCTGGAGGTCACCAAGGAAGGGCTGATAAAATGATAGTAGTCATTTAATATGAGGCTATCTAAATGATCTGTTTAAATACTTTTCTAACAATTAGTAGCAGCAACAATTCATACATTATATATCAAGTTAAAGATGAGCTTAACTAATGTTGAAATTGTTTAAAAAACTCTGAAGATATGTCCTAACAGTAGTAGACTAAATAGCTTCTTCAGATGATTATAATTCAATTGTAAAAGTAATATTTTACTTTTTTATCTAATGGAAATTCCTTAAAGGTTTACTTTTTTTTAATCCATTGTGATCATTAGAATTTTTAAAATCCAAAGCAAAAAGATTAAGTGTTATTTTGTTTAACTATATTTACTCTAAGAAAAACAGCAATAAAGTATTAATAAAACAAAGAACAACAACAAATGAAAAATATTTTAAACAACACAAAGAGAAACAAATTATAAAAGGAGAATAGATCTGGCTAACAGAATATAAGGAGACTAAAGTATAAAAAAAAAATCTATGGAGATATATAGAAGCTGAAGAACAATAGGCAGGGTGATAGACAAATAACCAAGGGATTTTTAATCATTATTGCAACATGCTTGACTATATAAATTCAATAGAAATTAAATTTAAAACATGTCCCAAATTTTAAATAGCAGAATGGAGCTTTAATTTGCGTAAAATGGTGTAGTCTTTAATAATTAATTTTTTAATTAATATCCACTTTATAGACTTCTTCTTCTTAGTCTTAAAATATAATTTTTTTTAGTGATCTTAACGCTTGAGCTTGACCCAGTAGATTAAACCCCAGATAAATGTTGATATATTTAATAACCTGAGTAGAGAACTGTGTCTGTTGAGAGGTTGGTGGCTGAGATTGCTGTGCTTGTTGGGACCCACTCATGCCTGGCTGCAACATGACAGAGTTTGGAGGCCCGCCTGCCTGCATCATGTTGGGGTTCTGGGGCCCACCTGTCTGCATCATGTTGGGATTCTGTGGGCCGCCAGTCTGCATTATGTTGGGGTTCTGTGGGCCACCAGCCTGCATCATGTTGGGGTTTTGGGGCCCGCCAGTCTGCATCATGTTGGGGTTCTGTGGGCCACCTGCCTGCATCATGTTGGGGTTCTGTGGGCCGCCAGTCTGCATCATGTTGGGGTTTTGGGGCCCGCCAGTCTGCATCATGTTGGGATTTTGGGGTCCACCTGTTTGCATCATGCTGGGGTTTTGGGGCCCACCTGTCTGCATCATGTTGGGGTTTTGGGGCCCGCCAGTCTGCATCATGTTGGGGTTCTGTGGGCCACCGGCCTGCATCATATTTACATTGTTTTGGGAAGCCGTAGCCTGCATTATGTTTTGATTTTGTTGCATCATGTTAGCATTCTGAGACCCCACGTTTTGTGTCATTCCAGGGTTCTGGCCCCCTCCACTCTGCATCATTGTCTGACTTTGTGGTGCAACTTGTTGCATCATACTCTGGAGATTCCCTTGCATGTTCTGTGGGCCACCTTGTTGCATCATGCCCATATTTTGGGTCTGCATCATACCAGCATTCTGTGGGCCAGTGGTCTGAATGTGGCTCATCATATTAGAGCCTTGTGTAGCCATCATGTTGGCCTATGTAAGTGTGACCATAAAGGGGTGGAATAAAGCATGCAATTTAAAACATTAATAAATGTTAGCAAAATATTAACATAAAAAATCTATTAAAACTTAACCAACAAAACATAAAATACACCTGCAAGAATCCACCATTAATTAATGTGACTAGAGTAATAACCATTGTATGATTAAAATAAACACAGCAAAATTTTGTATCCCGGTTTTTATTTATCTAAATTAGTGACAATAAATAGTGGTGGTTCCTTACAGAAAGATTAATATTTTTACAACATAATTTTCTTACTTTAGAAAAATCAAATTTTATTTATCTATGTTTATAAAAAAACTATTTTGCAATGAGGGACTACCCCCACTCCCTAATTTTTTAAAATAAATAAAGCAAGATGAAAGAATCTGTTTTGTAATAATCTAAAAAAAAAAGTCTTAACTGGATATATTGTATGTTCATAATCATTGTTCAACTTAAAACTGTTTGGAAGCGCAGAAATTATTTTAGTGATGGTTAAAAAAATAAAACAAGCACTAATTTTGCTTGATTTGCATGCAAAAGCAATGCTATTTAAATTTTATTATATAATAATTGTACACAATTTTTCTAAAAATACATCTCCACAATATAATTATATCGGTTATAATATATAAGTTTTGTGAAATTGGCTGTTTAGCACTTTTTCTTCAATATCTTCATGCAATCTTTTGGCATTTAAAAAAAAAATGTAATGCTTAAATTGATTTTATAACATTTTCAATTGTCAACCCTAAATGTGAACATTATTTCACAATAGTTAAACAGTAATTCAATGTAGTGAAATTCTAGCTGTACATATCATATTTTGAGTTTGCAGTTTATGTCAAAATTTTAAAGTGTGTCATGTTGTGTTTGAAAAATTAACTAGGAAATATAAAAGCAACTAAAAAATTAAAAGAGGGTGCTAAGCTAGTCCTTCACTGCAGCTTTTTGTATTGACAGTAGCTATCACTGTATACACACATATATAAATTGTATACATGTATATATCAATTTCTTATTGAAAATTATGTTGTAAAAATGTTATAAACTGATCTCTAAAGGAAACAAAATGTATTTATAAACTGAATAAATCTTCACTTCTAAAACAAAGTGAAAATAATGCATGCAAAGTGTGTTCCTAAGCTAAATACCCTTTTTGTAGAAAAAAAAACAAATGCCTAACAACTATGTTAACAAGCAAGTAAATTCATTTTGAAAAAAAACCTGAAGTGTTGGAAAATGAAATTTAACCAGAATTAGAAAATTGAAATATTCTTATGACTGAGTATGTTTATTTAAGTGGAATGTTACTCAACTTAAAAATTTATAATTTGCCACATTTAAAAAAAAATTCAGTCTAAAGTAAATTGCTGTCTACCAATTCACTAAAAATGAATATGGTATATATATCCATTAAAACAGATACTGTAAATAAGCTATTTTTAAACTACATAATTCACCACTTAGGTCTTAAGAAAGTGTTCAAGGATTTAAAAATTGACTAAGTGGTTAGTAGCTTATTAAACTAAAATTTAGAAGCTAGAGCTTGAAAATTAATCAATGAAATAATTTACATCCCAGTGTTTAAATTTTTTTACTCCTTTCAAATTTTTAAAATATCAGGTACCCACTTATTTTTATAAAAAATGTTAAATGAACTTTGTGTACATCACCTAAAAATGTATTGTATAACTAGTGTGTACATGTGTGCACCTACAGTAATTCACCATACACTGATGCTCTAAAATAGTGGTTTGCCAACTCAAAGGTATTAACTCAGAAAGCAACACAGTGAACTTTAAACTCAGTGGCCTCTAACCTGTGAGGTCATTACTCCTTGAGACATATGTTGATTCATTATTTGGTTTCCAGAAGTTTGCATTCCCATTATAGTTGGACCAGTGCTAGTTGCTATGTTTGGCCTCACTGTAACATAATAAATATATACATATTTTAAGACATTTTTAGAGTTGATTCACTGTGCCCTCTTGGAGTGAAGTTATGGAGAAGATAGCACCATGCCTTCACCTCCCTGACTCTCAGGTAAACAATCAATTGCTCTACTACAATTTCTCATATTTATTGGTGAAATTAAATTCTAATTATAAAGTATGTTCAGCATAATCTTTGTGTGCCCCTTTACAATGTATGCAGAAATCAAACAGTTTCAGGTAAAGTTAAAGTACTAAAATGTTGGAGATTACTAAAAACATTTATCATGTCTAATTAAAGTAATACAATTTTTTAAAACTTACTCATATTATTCATCATGTTGGGGTCCTGTTGAGTACGCTGGTTTAAAAAGAAAGGATAAAAATTATATAAAAAATAAATTAATTCATAAATTTTAGAAATGGAATTTTCGATTTAAACAAAGAGGAAAAACCAAACTAAGATTCTGAAAAGGTGTGAGCTTAACTTCTTTGCTTCTAAAGCATTTTTCAGAAACTATTCTTCATGCAAACAAGCTTAAAATTTGTCCAAAACTCGAATTAAAATAAAATCATTTAAAAAATGCCAAAAAAGAAAATATCTCGTGCACTCTACTACTATAATTAGTAGGCATAAATAGCGGACAAGGGTGTTTTGCATGACACTGCGATAAAAACACCATAGGCATTAATGGCGGGTGTGTCATGTTGCATTTGTAGCAACAGGATGTCACATTGGATTAATATAATAAAAAATAAGAATACAAAAATAACATACCATTCTAGGCTGCATTGGTACAGGTCCAGTTAAATTGGATTGGGGCTGCTGTGCCTTTTGATTCTTTAAGAAAATGATAAAATGTGTTCATTAGTCAAACAATAGTTTATTACAGCTTAGGAACTTTATGCAGCACAAGTTTAATAGTAAAAACATTGATGATGCATGAAACTTGTTACACACTTCAGTAAACAAAGTTTTTTTTTTGTTGTTGCTAAGAGTGATTTGAGTTAAAGTGTTTAATAAAAAACTTAATAAAAAAAATACCTGGGCACGCAGCTGAACCATTAATGGCTGTTTACCACCCATGTTTCCCCCCTGTAAACCAGATCTATCTATGAGAGGATCCAAGGAAGATAAATTCCCTGTGTTTGATACAGAGTTCTGTGGGTTTGTGGTTTGCATTGGGGGAGCCTGTAACACTTGTTGTGGAGAAGCTTGTTGTAAACCTGATTAGAGAAGCACAGAATTAACTCGTCATATTTAATAATTAAAGTGTAACAAAATGCAATACAATAATGGTAAAATTTGTTTAAAGAAAATTTTGATGTAAGTTAACATTTTTTTTATTGAACTCAGAATACAGGATATTAATTTTTACTTGAAATTTTCCAACAATATTAAACAAACTGTATAAAAAACGACTACTATTTAAAAACATCTAAATTTAAGAGCAAATTATGACAAAACACACAAATGTCCCACCAGGAGTAGTATTTTTACAATATGTAACAAACTTTTAAATCAGAGCTAGATATAAATTCTAACCTGACTGGTTTGTTGGTGGTATTTTAAAACTTTCTTTTTGCACTTGATCAGCTTGTTTTAATGCTGGGCTTGGTGCTGAAGTGACAAAGTATGCATGATAAACTGATCACAAGTTTTACCCAACTACACATCCAATAGTGAATATATTAGGGTGTGATCAGCAGTAATTTAAAAAAAACTTACCATTTAATTTTTTCTCCTCAAATTTTGGACTAATTGATCGTTCTGATGCATTAAGGAAACAAAAAAAAAGTGTATTAGTATAAAAATACAGATTTAATGAATTTTTTCTAGGAAGCATCTTACATGCAAAATTACTTAATGATATAAACCAAACATACAAGATATTTAACAATATACCATTACCTTGCAGTTGAAATCCTTTTAAAAGAACAAGATGTCTAGGATCAATTGCGTAATGAGCTTGTGGAAGATTGTGAAAATTGTCCCCAGCACAGGCCTTTATCAACAGAGTAATATTTAACTTTTATAAGACAGTAAATGCCAAATTAAAGTTAACTTTTAGCTTTCAATTATGGGGTTCATATTTTTCATATATAATGAATTTATGGTTAACTAAATAAGCTAATCTTAAAATACAAATTGTTACATAAAAAACTAGACTGAAAATTATACTAGCTACAAGATTTTATATAAAAATTTATTGATACAAATATTACCTCATTAAAGAGTTTCTGTAAAGCAGGAATCTTTCTAGGCGATATAATGGATAGATTAACCCCACGCTGTAAAATTTAAAAAATTAAATAAGAGGCCTAAATCGTGAACTTAGCTACTACTAAAATTACTATGACTAATAGTAAATTATGAAAATCTTAAGAGGAAATGCACAGTAAATTTTTTAAAATAGCTAAAATCCTGATTTTTCATCACAGTGAGTTTCTAGCACTATTGGATTCTTTGTCCATTTTTATAATTATAAAAATAATTTTTTTTAATCAAAATAAATTTTTAATATGTTAAAAATTAACTTTTTATGATCCTGTTAATGAAATAATAATAATTTTCTTTACAATTGTACATGTTTGTAACGCAATGTTTGATATCTGCCATCATATTGTTTTTGGCATTGCTAGCAATCTTCAGAATTTGTTTATAGTAAACACCAGAAGCTTTCAATAGACGTTACAAAGTACAACAAAAAGACGAAATGGTATTTTCATGATCTACTTTTTGTTTTTTTCTTTTTCAGTTTTTTAATACTAAAAAGCTTACTATTTTTTTTAGTAATAATACAATCCCCATCATTATAAAACTTTTGCCAAGAGCGAATTGTGATGGCATTCTTGGAAAAATTTTGTGGTAAAAATATTCAAATATTTCAAATGTTTGCATACTGAATGCAATTTTTCTGTCTTTGTAGAAATCTGACCAGTAACCCTATCAAAAAGTTGTCCTGATAGAAGTTTTAATATATACTGAAATATAAGCAGTGTAAAAAATTTTGTATTGCTATAGCTGCATAAATATAAAAAGCCAGTGTTTTGAAAAGTGCCAAAAAATTCAAAATGGCAGATTTTTTTTTCTGGTTTCCATGCCAACCAATGTTGTTTTTAAATGCTTTTTGCTGTTTAGTGCTAACTTTAATGTGCCAAACATGGCAAAAATACTTTAAAGGCTTCAGTCTAAAAACTAAAAAAAAACAACAACTGAGCATAGCCCTTTATCAAAATTGAGTTTGTATTTTTGACTTGAGAGATAATAAATATTAAGTATATGATAATGCTATATAGAAAATTATTCAAGAACCTTTCCCATCATAGTGGCTAGCTGTTCACTGTTAAATCCTCTGTAGTCTTGGCTTTCCTCTGCTGTTATGTGATAGGGTGGGGAGTTGCAGATCAGTATACAGTGGCGCTGTGTATGTTTGCTAAAAAGATTACAACTCCGTGAAAAACATGTATCAATATTAAAGTAATAAAAAATTATTTTTTTTAAGTAGTTTATTTCTATTGAGGTATTTCTAAATATCTTCTCCATGAAGACGCTAAATTTTAAGCAGCTATGGAGGTCAAAATACTTACCCAGAATATCTTAGTAGTTTAATTTCATCTAGACATTGAAGAGCAGTGCTCAAACCTTCAGATACATGGCTACAACTCTGACCTGCACCTCCTATAAACCTATACAAAAATAAATTTATATCAAAAAGTGATCACAAAATTATCTAACTTTTTTTCACTCTTGAAACTATTCATAATCTGAGTGAACATATGGCCTGTTCTAAAAAGAATAAAACTTGAAAAAAAAAATGAAAGCAAAGAAAAGGAAAAACTTACTGAATATTGTCAAAAGCCTGGAGGAGCTCATAAGTACTAGTTGTAGGGTAGGTGCAATCTGAAGCCATTTCTGGTGCAGAGTCACCTGCTGTATAAGTTACCATGCAATACAATGTGCAATTGTACTGAAATAGACAGATCATGTCATCATTATTAAACAGCACATTTTTTATTTAATTAGGATACTACTTTATATAAGGTAATATCCATTCAATATGAGATATTTCCAAAAAAAAAAAAGACTAGGTATCATATCAGAATATTTTTATGCAAAGATTAATTACACTATTATTTTTAAAATTCATGTAAAGGAGTTAATAACTGTATGTAAGTTTGGTCACTAAGTGAAATGGATAAACTGTATTCATGAGGTTTGTTATTGTTTTTTACAGCAGTTACTGCCACACTTTCATAAAAGACATTCATGTTTTACAGATTTAAAAAAAAAAAAATGACAAAAGCGTAACAAAAATAACAACGTGTATTATCTCAGCTTAAGAAAAGCCTAGTGTTCATGAATCTAAATTTTCATTACAACTTGAACTTTAAAAAAATTATAACAATGGTCTTTCTAAGTTAAAAACAAAATAATACCTAGTAACTCAATGAACGTGGGCTGGTCAAAGAAATTTTTAAAGTTATTTTCTAAAATGTAAAGAGTATAATATACTTACATCATGACCCGTATCTATTGGACTAGGTGGTCCACCATTGAAATGTCTAGAAAATGAGAAAAACTCATGAAGTAAGTGCATAAAATAGAGCAAAATAAAAAAGCACTATGCCTAGCATTTTCTCAATCTAAGTTGGATATGAACCAAAAACAACTGTGCTAGCTATATTAAAATATCACCCTTACTCCAATGCAGGAATTATATATGCAGTTTTTAATTCCTCCAAATAAGGCACCAAATTGGCAGTTTTTTCCACTACAATGACAACATCGTAAACAGGATCCTCATCTTGCTGTGTCGGGTTGGCTGTGAGCACCATTGTTATGATATAATTTTTAGTTTACTTTTGAAAAAAGTCAATTATAAATTCTGCTAAAAACTGTTAAAGTTGTTCATAAAGACTTGTCTTAGAGTTCTTTGCAATTTGTCTTAACTGCAAAAAAACAAAAAAAAAAACCATTATGTAATGGATCATCAATTATGATAAATGGCATGTGGCTGGGGGGGTGTTGGGTGTGGTGTGTGAGTAGCTTTAATTGTACTGTGTGAGATATTTTAACACTGTAGCAACTAGCATACATATACATTTTAAAGAAATAGTTAAAGATTCAAAATAATAGATAAATTAAGTGTGTAACAAAATATGCCTTTTCCAAATCAAAACTGTTATCAATAGATTAAATTTAAAAATTAAAAATTGAGAAAAGTGATAAAGTGCAGTAGGGTTAGGTTAGCCTGTCATCCCTATAACCTGGGTTTGGATTTTTAAGTTACCTGCCCTTATTTGGAAAGAATATGAATTTCACAGCACAGCGGTTTTAAGCAGTTATTTACAAAAGGGCGACAACATTTTTAAACAACGAAAACCAAGCATATAATTGTATTGATTTTTGTTTTTCGTTCTACATGTTTGTGAGACTAATATATTTTTAACATTTTGCCGGCAATGTTGATAGAAATATCAAGTAGACTATTCAGTAGCCTATGTGTAGTAGGTTGTTGTTTGACCTACAGGCTACTTTTAAGCTATTCAAACTACTAAAAATAAAAAGACTAAATAAGCTTTTAAGCTCAATACTTAATAAGGTATTAGTATTATTAGAAAATTAGACTATCATTAATCACGTAGGTAAGGCCTACATAAAATTGCTCAAAGCTAGTAATATGAAAGTAAGGTGACTCATTAATATTAACAAGTATATTGTGATATAAAAATATAGATAACTGAACAGTAAAGCAAACGCAATGTTTAAGTAACGTGGTTTTTAAAAACTAAAAATGAATTGGTTGTGATATGAACGCCTGTCTTATAAAAAGACAGCTCACAATATTTGATTTCATTTTCATAGACTGATAAAACTAATAATGCTTTACGTTCTCGCTCATTTTTGTACCTACACCGTTGATATTTTAAAAGTTCTATTAAGTTTAATGAAACCAACTTTTGAATTTAGCCTCCTTTCTCCAAACCAAATTTAAAAATGCAACATGAAACATTTTTGTAACTTTTAAAACACAAATGAAAATTAAGCCTATATCTAAAATTTAGCTTGATCTAGATTCTAGTAATCTACTACTACACTACTAGTTAGATCTAGGTTTCTAAATCTAGAGTAAAGTGCACTTCAGCCCCCCCCCCCCATACGAAATGGAATTTATATAGGAAACATACGTTTACCAGTGTCCCCCCTTCCCCGAAATATCAAGTATCTGCCCCCCCCCCCCCCCCCCAAGAAAAAGTCTAAAAGAAACACTGATTGGGTCTCACATGACCCTGAAATTGTTAAAACTGCCATAGCAACCATCCAATTCAAACAATTATCAGTAAGGGAAGCGGCTTCATGTTTAATCACTGTAAATTGATATTGTATTTCTACATCTCAATTTAGATCTAATCTAGATCTAGATGTTAAATTTAATTAAAACTTATTTCATATTTTTTGTTTTCCAATATATTGAACTATTTATGTGTGTAACATATTTATTTCAATCATTGAAATAGAAACAAAACGAACAAAATATGCTTTGTCCACATAAAGAGCAAGTGTCCGCACAGAAAATAAAAAAATGTAACAAAAAAAGTCTGAAGTCTCACCACTGAAAATGTTAATACATCCAATGCTATGTGTATGAATACAAAATGACTCATACGTGATTAAACTAGAAAGAATGCGGAGTAACACAGTACTTTCGGTTTGTTCCTTAAGTTCCTATGAGAAACTGTTACTGAATGGCGCTCAATGGAAATCGGGAGTTCCGATTTTTTTGCTACGTCTGTCCACAGACGCCACTTTACTCTAGAATCTAGATAAATTAACTTTATTTATTACCTTGGTGATGAACCATGACAGTGGTAGTTGGCAGTAGCTAGACTAACTACTAGTATTGTAGTAACTAGATCTAGATCCTAGTTGCTGTTTCAGTGTTTCAAAATCAAATTGTTAGGCTCCCTAGCCTAAATATAGTCTAGTAAATAATATAATTTAATAATTTTGGATTTATCAATTAGGTTCTAGAATCTGGATTCTAATAGATCTACTAGGGCTTATGATTCTAAAATCTAATCACTAGTCTAATAATTTAAAACAGTAAGCTCAGTTACTGAGTTACCTACCTAGATTAGATGATAGATCTCTAGTTCAGTAGACCTCTAGTTCTGGATCTAGATCTACAAACGACAAGTCAGGGAAAGCAAATCAAATCAGAAATTGTTCTGGTTTTTATATTTACACTTACTTTTGAATAAATTATCCAGCCATCTAATCCAACAGGTTTTTAAATTTCATTCTCGAAGTAAGATCTAGATAGATATCTAGATCTATATCTAAATGAAGAGCAGAAAACTCAATATTGCCAAGCTTAATCGGTGTTTTAAAGATGCCGTCCGCTTGATCGAAATTCCCTAGTCTAAATCTATTACAAACAGGAAGCGACAGTGAATGGTAAAAATAGTTCAAAAATAAAAATAGATATTGCAACCAGCTACCGAGATACGGAGAAACTGATGTGCAAATTTAAATAGTAAAATAAAAATAGTAGGCCTATTCAAAAAGATGTTTTTAAATAACTAAACGAATTTAAAGTAAAAATGTAATTAAATGAAAACATTTTAAAAATAACTGAACAAATTTGATTATTTCGTAAGAAAAAATGAATCTATTAATGTAGGCCTACTTGGTATCTAAATAAATAAATAAAAAAAAGTAAAAGACCTGAAAATAGTTTCTCATAGTAGTTTGATTCAGTGATAGTATAGTATCCAATTACCCTGACATTATTAAATCGATGAACATTTTGATAAATTGCCCATAGCTACCAACACACATAGTTAATTAGTGGATTTATACAGAGGCGTAGCGACCCTCCCCGGCGCCCGGGGACAAACTTTTCGATTTGCACCCCCCCTCAAGATTTCGATTTGCACCCCCCTCAAACTTTCGATTTGCACCCCCCTCAACCTTTAAATTTATTTTTCCAACCCATTTTGGCGCCCCTTAGGTCGGCGCACGGGGACATATGTCCCCCCCCCCGCCCCCCCCCCCCCCCCGCTACGCTACTGGATTTATATAAATGATACAGTCTATTTTTATCAGTTTTCGCCTAATTACCCCAATGTTCCTACAAAAAAATCAGCCTCTCCCCTAAAATGAACCAAAAACTAAAACTTCGAGCTCCAATATCAATAATTTTAATTAGAATCAGCTTTTATTATTATTTTTTATTTTACGGCATACAAAGTATTCGAAGTCATACTTCTTAACGCCATCCCACATAAAGTCTATCATCGTCTAATATGTAACACCCATTCCTAGTGGTGGGGCGTCTTTAAGATCTTACTTTATAACTTATTCATCTTTTAATAAGCGTACTGTGCTATTACATAAGGCGTGAGTAGTGGCTTATCATATTCTTATATCATGTTACGGTAGTGGTGGTTAAGCGTCGTGTAATAGGCCCTTATAGGGCTGGTAAGTAGGTCACCAACCAGTTCTACGGCTCAATAAAACCTGCATGAGCCATAGAACTATTTATTGACCTACTTACCAGCCCTATAGGCTGCAGAGGCGTCACGGTGGCGGGGGTTCGGAACGCACCGGGTGACACCAAGGCAAATAACTGCAAAACTTACTAAAAAAAACCACGACGTAAATTAGCTAACTATAGAGAAAATAATGCTGTATTAATAGCCGACTTTAGATAAACATTGTTACTAGTGACTGAACACCTTAAATATATCACCCGGGAGTGCACAATTTAAAGAGGAAATTGTTGAATACTTTCAATCAACGACCGGGATGGGGTCCCCAGCTAACGAGCCTCATCTGCCCGAGAGTTTGAACTCGATACTTTTCGGTTTAGCAACCATGAGCTTTACCGACTCGACCACACCGACCCCATATCTCCTAGGTTACCTTGAAAAGGACCATTTTCCCCCACTTGAATTAATAAGTGGATTGATATAATTACGTGCACAAATAGACGCCATTAGGCGAAATGGGAGGAGGGGGGGGGTGATAACAATCGCAACTTTCACAGACAAGCAATGTACTGGCCTGAACGTAATAAAAGGCAAAGAGCTTCTAGCGGATTCAAGCGTTGGACATATTTCCTTGGTCACTATAGAAATAATGTTCCTATTCATTAGAAATAGAGTTCGTAGTTCAGACCAAAAGTGCGTAGCTTTACTAATTTGAAATACATTAAGAAAAAACTATATAAAAGTACATATACACATGCTTACACACATACATCTACGTGTAGATGGCATAGTATTAAATTATAGGTCTATGTAGGCTTACACACATACACACACACACACACATACACACACACACACACACACACACACACACACATATATATATATATATATATATATATATATATATATATATATATATATATATATATATATATATATATATATGCAATTTATTTGTTTCTTGAGGGTGGGGGGTACCATGAGGTGTCGCACCGGGTGACTATAGGGCTGGTAAGTAGATCACCAACCAGTTCTACGGCTCAATAAAACCTACATGAGCCATAGAACTGTTTATTGACCTACTTACCAGCCCTATATCCTAATCCTTAGGTTGTATCAATTATATTTTTGTCAAAGTTTCTGCTATTTTTACTCGGTTTAATATTTCATTTCCCAAGCACAAACAGGAACTATATGTAAGCTAATTATTAAATAATAAAAAATACTGTGAATAGTAAACTAGTAAAAGTTATGGAATATTAATTTTGTTCCAAACTAGATTTTCCAGTTAATTGGAAACACAGTTAAGATGACGTGTTTCGTTCACGTTAGGATTATTTTTTTTTGCAGCCTAGGGCCCTAGTCTACTTTTCAGTTGCTTTTTTTTAAGATTTAATTTTTTTTACTGCTATAAACTATTTTATAAGCTATAGATCTAGATTCAACAATTGTTTGGCCCGATTGTCGTCTGCTAATCTAAGTTACCGTTTAAATTAATTAAGTAATAGATCTAGATCTAAATCTACATATAAATCTAGAATCTAAGTTATTTTAATAGCAAAACATAGCATAAAATAATCATAATTGTGTATTATTAAAGAGTTCTGGAGGTACCCTTGAGATTTACTTTACTTTATTATTTATTTGCTGAGTTTTTATTATGAATATAATATTAATTACAACAATTAATTAATATTCAGCATTAAAGTTAAGTTAAGTATTTCTAGTCTAGATCTAGATCTAGAGTTAGCCTACTAGTGTAGATCTAGGAGTAGGACCTACCTATGATTAACAAAATAATTCTATCCGAGTTAGGTATCCGATGCCTATATTTATTTAACTATATTTTAAATTATTATTAGCACCACCTCTAGCAGGTCTAACGTCTGGGGAAGGACCTAGTCTGTCTAAAGTCTAAGTATAGTTCTATCCTACTTAACTTTGCTTAGGCTACTCAGTGGACATACTTTTACTAATAGTAAAGGAAATTTTCTGCAGGGGTAACTTGACATGTGACGTCATTTTAGAAGTTGCGCGGGGAATCGGTCTGCCTATGTCGACGTGTGACAATGTAGCGAGAGGTGGGGGTACAAAAATAACTCACAAAAAAGCCTGACGTCATTCATGAACGATGCATTAACCATATTGCTAAGTAGGCCTAGGGCCTATTGAAATGTGCAGACAGTGTCACTTTTACATAAAAGATTGCCACTCGGCAGAGGCGTAGCGACCCTTCCCGGCGCCCGGGGACAAACTTTTCGATTTGCACCCCCCTCAAGATTTTGATTTGCACCCCCCCCTCAAACTTTCGATTTGCATCCCCCCCCTTGAGATTTCCATTTGCACCCCCCTCAAACTTTCGATTTGCACCCCCCCTCAACCTTTCAATTTATTTTTCCAACCCATTTTGGCGCCCCTAAGGTCGGCGCCCGGGGACATATGTCGCACTATAGATTGACGACGCATTCACAACAGGGTAGTAAACATTAGGGCAAATTAAAAAAAAAAACGGGAATATTCTTAGATAACACTAATGGGGATGGCAACTCCAGTGCAGTCGGGATATTGGCATTTAAATATTTTTTTTCAAATTTAAAATACTTAAATTAATTAAAAAAATTGAATAGAATCGCGTAGAAATAAGAATTGCGCACAAAATGAACAGCATATAAATAATCAGTGCAAGTCCCCTGTACCCTTATATATGATGAAGCACTGAGGAGTATAACTGTGAAAACTGTCAAAAATTTCAAACTTCCTCTAAATTCTGTATACGAGAAAGTAAAAAACAAATATACATCCAACAGGGCGTTTTTACAAGAACCAGTATTTATAATTTAAATATTCAACAATTAAAGATAGGCCTAAAGAATATCACAACATTAGCTAGCTAAGAGGAATATACCGCTGAAAATTATAATCCATTCTCAAATATATTGAAGGTCCTATAGGCTTACTAGATATATACATTTTCTCAAAAGTTTACATTTTCAGACTAAATTAATAAGCTTTAGAAATTTATTTGTTGGACATGAAGATAGATAGCAGGACTCAAACTTTGTGTTTAAAATGTTAAAATCTAATCACGTCACTCATATTTTACATAACCATTCTACAGTGACATCCCTTTATCCGTATTTCCAATGTCTCTGTATTTTGCAGTTATATCCCTTTACTCTATTGGCCAATGTCTGTACGAAAGTAAATGTTAAATTTACACTTTAAAATGACTAACACATTTTCCTAAAAAAATTGTATTTACAAATGATAATACCAGTCATAGTACTTCTGGAAAATCGGCCCGTCGTATTGTTTTTATTTTATTTTATTTTTTCCACAACCTTAACTTTAACCCTGGCAACCCTGATCCCGAAAGCGATAAACCTAGATCTGCTACTTTATTATCATACCGGCACTGTCATATGAACCCCTTTTATTCCTTTTGTTGCCATGTAAGCTGTGTGATTGATCGTGTTTTATATTTTATAGACACGGGATAAATGTCGACGGTTAAAATGGACGAGAGCAGTGGCCGCACGATCATGTCCTATCAACCAGGTAGGCGAAGATCAATGTACTGACTTTTTTGTGCTTTGTTTTCAGTCTAATAGATGTTTTTTTTTCTTGTGTAACGGCCGCTCACTCCACAATCATCATTGTCAGGTACTTAACAATCGAAGGTCTCATTAAAAATGAATCAGAATCCTGCATCGTTAAATTACTTGCTAAAGTAATCGTTTGAATTGATGCTCTAAAAATGGCACAGGAAGAAACAACGAAAAAAAAGTACTAAATACTGGTGATGTCGGCTGGACTAATTAAAAAAACCCCCTCCGATTACAACTTCATCAAAATGCTGTGACATATTGTCGCTCTTGAAGTATTGATTTACATTTCACGATTAAGAAGATTCGATTTCGAGTGGCAACTCTTATGGTATCGAAAAAAAAAAACAATTTTAAAATGACAACATTCTACAATTTTCTTTCCACAAGTGCACGCTTTTATTTTTCTACTTTGAACTTTCTTTTGCTGCTGCTATGATAGTATACACCAGGGGTCTCCAAACTTTTTAGACCGAGGGCCACATTAACTATCGAATTTCAGTTTGGGGGCCAGTTTCTTCCAGGCATGTCTTTGATTTCTCTGGGCAAAGGTCATCAACCATCACCAACAAACGATTTTTCCTTAGACAAAAAGATCTCCGCGGGCCGGATGAGAGGACTTCGCGGGCCGCATCCGGCCCGCGGGCCGTAGTTTGGAGACCCCTGGTATACACATTTAGACAATTCTTTTTTTCCAGTACACAGCATCTATCTTTACACGCATCGTTTGTAACCTCACATCTATACAGTGGCGTAGCGAGGTCGGGTGTCACCCGGTGCGGCACTTAATAGTATCACCCCCCCCCCCAGAGGCGTAGCGACCCTTCCCGGGGTCAAACTTTCAAATTTTCGATTTGCACCCCCCCCTCAAATTTTCTACTTGCGCCCCACCCCCCTCGAACTTTCGATTTGCACCCCCCCCCCCTTTAAACTTTCGATTTGCACCCCCCCCCTCGAACTTTCGATTTGCACCCCCCCTCAAGTTTTTCTCTATATATTTTGCTATTTTTTGCCTTGGTGTCACCCCCCTAAATGGTGTCACCCGGTGCGGTCCGCACCCCCCTCCCCCTCGCTACGCCTCTGCATCTATATAAGTGGTTTTTAAAACCTTTTTGGTAGTACCGAACCCCACCAGTTTCATATGCGCATTCGCCGAACCCTTCTTAATCTATCGTCCGCACAGACAAAAATCAATCGTGAATCAAATGAGTCGGGTGTGTGTCTTGACCTCCGCCGAACCCCTGCGACTGACTCACCGTAGAGCGGGAATTCGAATGAACCCAAATTAAGAACCACTGATCTATGTATTCACATAATTTGTCACCTAAAATCCATTTGTCACCCATCTTTTGTCACCTAACATCCATTTGTCACCCATCTGTTGTCACCTTAGAACCATTTGTCACCCATCTTTTGCCACCTAACGTCCATTTGTCACCCATCTTTTGTCACCTAACATCCATTTGTCACCCATCTTTTGTCACCTTAGAACCATTTGTCACCCATCTTTTGTAACCTAACATCCATTTGTCACACATATTTTGTCACCTAACATCCATTTGTCACCCATCTTTTGTCACCTAACATCCAATTGTCACCCATCTTTTGTCACCTAACATCCATTTGTCACCCATCTTTTGTCACCTAACATCCATTTGTCACCCATCTTTTGTCACCTAACATCCATTTGTCAGCCATCTTTTGTCACCTAACATCCATTTGTCAGCCATCTTTGGTCACCTAACATCCATTTGTCAGCCATCTTTGGTCACCTAACATCCATTTGTCACCCATCTTTTGTCCCCTAACATCCATTTGTCACCCATCTTTTGTCACCTAACATCCATTTGTCACCCATCTTTTGTCACCTAACATCCATTTGTCACCCATCTTTTGTCACCTAACATTCATTTGTCACCCATCTTTTGTCACCTAACATCCATTTGTCACCCATCTTTTGTCACCTAACATTCATTTGTCACCCATCTTTTGTCACCTAACATTCATTTGTCACCCATCTTTTGTCACCTAACATCCATTTTTCACCCATCTTTGGTCACCCAACACCTACCCAACCAGCTCGGACGGTTCTGCTGGACTTGAGCTCACCTCTGGAGAAGCAGGCGGCGAGAGCTGTGTGCGAGGCGCTAGAAAACACCCTGTGTATGAGTTCTAGGATGGACGGCCAGCCCCGGATCCCACTGATTGCTATTTACTTACTTACGTCTTATCCCGAAGTAAGTAAACATCAGGCGATGGCTGACATCGTTAGTGGGAATTACTTGGATTAGGGGATAGTTGGTTGCACAATTTTGAAAAAAAAAAAGCGACATTTTATTTAACCCACCAAAACATGTACAACTTAAATGTTCTCAACCATAGTACCACCGTGGACTGGATGTTTTTTTTTAGTGTGTATGTAATTTGTGTATTAACTTTATGGTGTACAGGGAATAGACGTACATATCATTGTATGGATTGGCCGTTCTTGGGAAATAAATAAAAGCATAAGTTTAATGAGTTCGCTTTTTTAAATATAATTTTAAAAAATCCATAGTCGTTACATTTTCTGGCCCGCTTTGAAAACGTAGTATTTAGAAACAGTGTAATGTGATGGAATGATTTTAACTAATTTAACCCACACCATTGTTTCTATAAAATTTTAATGCAACACGCTTTTATGATTTCCTTGTATAAAACTGTTTTATTGGTTAGCAAAGAACAAATAAAAAATAAATCAAAATTCGTTTGAGCAGCCTCAATCAATCAGTAATCGATTACACGTGGACTTCCTATCGAAAACAATAATCTGTTATGGTACAATCAAATCCTTTGGTTTTTTTAATACAGTAAAGTAATTTATTGAGCATAATTTTCGCTGAAACGTAGACTCTGATTCTATGAAAATCTAACTAATAGAACTATATATATATATATATATATATATATATATATATATATATATATATATATATATATATATATATATATATATATATATATATATATATAACTTTTAAATATACAGGTAATATTGCCACTGTCCTGCACAAAAAATAACTTCGTTCGGTTGCATGCAGCCATAGAGGACATACGTAAAATGCTGGATGATGGTTTATCAGAACGCAAGTCAAAGAGTGAGGAGCCATGCCTTTACCAGGCGGTACTAGAGTCATGTAACCAATACAGACGATACATAGCCAGCCTTCCTCAGGTGTGTAGGCATCTACGACATTGCAACTCCCACGTCAATTACCTCTCGGTTATTTCACCCGTCGTTATCTATCAACTACCGCTTGTCAAGTACCCCTGTCAATCCACCGGTAATACCGCCCCCTTTTAAAATGGTCAGCGCATCTATCTTTACCGCAATCCATGTCCACATCCTTTTTCATATCCCTACTCTTCGTCCAGCTCCCTATTCCTAACTCCAAATTAACCCTATCTCTAACTCTTGGTTCGTACTGCTTTTTAAAAAGGAAATTCCAGACTTTTCTCAGACATTTTGGAAAAAAAAAACTCCTGACAATAAAGATAATAATACAGATGGCAACCTAGCCCCATCGTTTAAAAAAAAATTAAAAGAATTGATATTCTATATTGATACATTTCTAACACTTAGATGACTTTTAAGACCATTGTCAATTATGACTGAATTTATTGGTAGTGTAGACCTCGCAATACCACTTGAATAGAGAAAATAGTTGGAGTAAAACCTCTAAAGGCGAGCATTTTTGTAAGTCGGAAAATACAAAAAAAAAAAAACCAAACATGAGAAATATATTTTTTAATACCCCTCCCCCTTAAAAAAAACCCTCCAAACAACAAACAAACAAACAAACAACAAAAACGAATGATGAAATTTTTGTTGTTCAGGCGCCAATCAACTTTAACCAACTGGAAGTAATTATAGTAACGGGTAAATCCGGAGATTGTGTACACAAGCAGCTAAACGCACTACCAAATGAAGCGGATTTAACTGTTTTTAAGGTTGGAATGTATTTAAACTAATCAGTTAAATAACCAACAAAAATATTTAATTAACCTACTAAAATTGTAAATCAAAAAGGTGAAGAATGGCATATGATGCTTGATGCGATTATGTTGGTTAAGATTTTGGTTGTGTAGACTTTTGCCCCTTTCAGAGAATTGTCAGCGCTACAATCAGCAGTAGCCAGCCCCTAGACGTGATCCCAGAAAACTTGGATGTAAACAATTTTGCGCCTAGTGACGTCAGCAGTCTCGTCGATGTATTTGATCTTCAAAGTGGTGAGTCGAAATACCAAAAGGATGTACATAATTTAAAACCTAAAAAAAAAAAAATTATAAATATATAAATAATATAATTAATCATTTTGAGAGAAGGGAGGCATAAAGTGTTCTTTCAGTGCAGTATGAGATAATCCCTCACATATGAGACAATGTATGCATACGCAACAGTGGCGTAGCCAGGATCGTCTCAAGGGGAGGGGGGGTTCCAATTTTTACCCGGGGACAAACTTTCGATTTGCACCCCCCTCAAACTTTCACCCCCCTCCCCCTGCCTACGCCACTGATACATCGAAAATGTTTTAAATAGCTTGAATTTAAAACTAAACAGTTGTATTAATACTCTAATACGTTGTAACCATACATACATACATACATGAATTGTAAAAAAATTCTTTTTTTTTTAGTTTAATAATGCTATTGAAATATTTCTCCTGTAAAGATCCGCTTTCCCTACAGAAGTTTTTCTATAACTGGTTGATTGATACATCAAGCGAGTATGAAAATATGCATTTGATTTTGCCAGCTCCTAGTCCAGGTAGGACGGTAGGGTGGGATAAAAATGATGGGTGGGATAGGACTGTTGGGTGGGATAGGACTGTTGGGTGGGATAGGATTGTAGGTTTGGAATCGGACTGTTGGGTAAGGGCAGGTTAAACCCCCCCAAAATACATATTTAAGTCAGAAATGTTGATTTTTGAAAATCTATTGTTTCTGAAACTACATTCAATTCTGAACATTTTTGTATAATCATTTTGCAAAATTTCGTATTGCTAGTATTTTTTATAATTTTTTAATTAATGAGACTAATGACGTAATTGACCTATATTAAGCAACATTTAGCAACATAAAAATTAAAAACTAACTAAAATAGATGTTCTTATTGCTGAGTAAGAGGCACCAGATGCAATTTATGTAACTGGGAGGTTTTAAAAATGACTTATTTGGTATAGTTTTCGCTTTTTCTCGTTTTTTTCAAATTTAGTATATTTTTCACTATTTAGCGTTTTTCTCAAAATGTTACTTTCCAACAAAATAGTACCAGTTAAATCACTATAACTCAAAAACTACTTGAGATATTTAGCTGAAATTTTGCACACATGTTTACTAACCACTGCTTGTAAAGGTGAACTAAAAGAATTTCTATATCTTTGAAACTTATCATTTTATTAAAAAAAAGCTAAGTCTACTCCCTACTTTATGGAAAAAATTTAGGTCTCACATTTAAAAAATTTGGCTAAAATCCATTTTTTATTATTTTCTAATTGTTTTAGTTCAACTTTTTTGTAATTGCGTATATTACAATATATTAAAGATTTGTGTTATTCTGACAAACAGAAGCTGAGTTATTGTGATTTCAATGAGAGCTAATTTTGAGCTATTTTACCCTAAAAATGACACTTTTTAGAAAATATTTTCACAAAACCATAACTTTTAGTGATTTTTTTTGCATTTTTTTCATATACTATGCTATTTACAACTTCCTTATCACTCAAAAAAGTCCTAACACCTAAATTTCAATTTGGGGGTTTAACCTGCCCTAGTGGGATATGACTGTAGGGTGGGATAGGACTGTTGGGTGGGATAGGACTGTAAGGTGGTTTTTGGTGTAGTGGGTAAGTCAGTCAAGTGAACTGCCCAAACAAGAATTATTCCAAACTAATGGAGCTGACGTAAAGTCTCTTCCAAGTTTCAACACCAAGCAACATCGACTTGCCTTGGAGAGACCCGTAAATAGAGAGTATTTTTTTATAACCGGCCCATCAACTTACACCAAGAGACGATTCAAAACAACAGTATTTTTATTTATATCCCATATATTTATTTCGTTTGTAATGTTAATTAAATATAATTTTCAAAGTATGATGATATTAATCAGCTCAACGAGATATTTCTATCTAACAGTTTTCATGTTTCCATCTTCAGCGGTTGTGTTTATTTATAAGATTATTCGGGATCTCCCAATTTTGTTAGACGACACCCTTCGATCATGTAGACATGAAATATCCTTAGGGGTCATCCATAAATGACGTCACGCTTTTTTGGACGATTTTTACCTCCCCTCTCCCCTCCGTCACACATCGTCACAAAACAGTGGCGTAGCCCGGAATTGGTCATGGGAGGGGTTCAAACATTTTTCCAAATGTATAAAATTATATATATATATATATATATATATATATATATATATATATATATATATATATATATATATATATATATATATATATATATATATATATATATATATATATATAAGGCTGTGAGTCCATGGGAGGGGTTATAACCCCTAACCCCCCCCCCCCCCCCCTTGCCTAGGCCACTGTCACAAAAAGCCACAACCCCCTCAAAATTGCAGTTGAATTTTTTTTCGAAACATCGAGATTTTTCCAAAATCTTGTCTGAACTGTCAAAATAGAGTATTTTAATCAATTCCTATTGCAATTTATTAAAACAGTTTTCTAAAACGCGAAATAATGGCTAAAATTCATTTTCTAACATTGGTCACAAAATTTCGGACCCCCCACTAAAAGCATGTAGGCCTGTCAACAGAAAATCTATTTTTTCCTCCACAGCTGATCAGGCTTTGGTGCTTAAGTGTGATTTTATAGAGCGGATGCTCAGCCCTATACAGCTCCCATTTGAAGAGTACTTTGTAAGCTATTCATGTTGAATGAGGGTTTCAATTGATTTAATTTCTTTTTTTGATGACGCGAAATTAATTACAATTTTACGATTACATCGGTAACTATGATTAGTAAAAAGTATTTAATGGTAAATCGTGTAAAAATGACAAAACTATCAGTACACCATGTCTAGATGCCGGGGTCTATCATTACACTAAACGTTTATCCAGTCTTATGGCCTTTGACCCATCGACGAATCATACAATTATAATATATCCCATTGATCATTAGTCTCCTTCGAGCAATATGTGTTAATTCCTGCAATATATTTCATTAAAAAAAGCTTGCACACAATTAATAATAATAATGCGTGCAGGGCAATAAAAAGTTTTTCATTTTCAAACACTTAAAAAGAAAAAAGTGGATTGATTCTTCTTGATTATTGCCCGCAGGCGGTCAACAATCACCTGCAGGCAATCAACAATCTCCTGCAGGCAGTCAGCAATCACCACGCCGTGTGGTGCCTACTTCCTGTGGTTTGCTGTCTATTCTATCCACGGTATCCCAGCTTTTCTTCCCGGCCACCAGTGTTTGCTTGAATCAGCTTGTGAGGATTATTAAAGTAATTAATTGCCACCATTCAAGAGATGTTATGAACTATGTCATATGGAAATGGCATGAAAAGATTCTTTTTAAAACACTGTCATTTTTAGAACATAAAAACGTTTTTGTAACGACCACTTGAAAAGATTAATTTAATCTCTTTTTGCGCCCTGAGCTTTTACGTTAATTTAGACTGTCTTCCATTGTGTACCGTACCCCAAAAGATTCATGGTTTAAAAAATAACACTTAATTAAGCTGAAATCTTATTTGTTTGGACACGTGACTTTTTAAACTTCCGTATTGTCAGCTCAAGCCTTAATTCCTTCGCTCACTGTCGTGTGTTTGTTGACCAGCATGAAAAGAACACAAAGCGAGCGCACGGTCGAGTGGCAAAACAAAGCTGCAATACATTTGTCAAACTGCCTGACTGGTTGCTTGCTGTGACGGGATGGGGCGAGAGGGGCGTCAACATTTTTCTGTCACATAAACCGTTTCGGTATCAACTAAAATTAAGTCATATAATAACCATACTACAAAACTCTGGGTTTAAATTTCACTGAGACGCAGTACCGTGGCAAAATCATGCCAGACTTAAAACATTTTAACGCGGTTAATGTAGCCCGTTGTTTTAACTCTTTATATTGATTATGACATTTATTACATTTAGACATATTGTTTCATACACTACAAGAAAAATAAATATGGAGGCTGATACGTACAACTAATTTGGTTTTTGTACCATTATTTCAATATTCCATTAGTATATTAGTTAATTGATTATTTTGTTCAATTATAAAACAACAGACTGTGAACTATTGAGTTAGACCAGGAAACATGCATGCGTGCTTCATGATTATAACGGATCTTTTAACTCGTAAACACTAACATCATTTGTAAAGTACATAGCTCGCTAGTGGTTTTACAGTTTACTTGGTGCAAAAAAAACCAAACAAACAACAAACAAAAACAACTAAAGCTAAAATAAAACACAGCATTGGACAAAAAATAAAACGTAATTCTAAAATGTTATGTTAGCTTTTGTTAACACCTACATTGTCTAACTTAATCACAGCGCGTGAAATCATAATAGAATAATAAATTATAATGATATTTTAAGGCTACACTTGAAGTATGATAGTTTTAGCACTTTTAATGGTGACTACACGCACATGTAATCTTGGGTAAACTGTACAAAAAGCTGACATTGATTTAACGCTTTAATTGCGTTCATTGCAATCGGGTGGTTGCCGGCATTATTAAAACTCCAATCGTTAGAAATCATTTAGTGCCATTTAGTCGATCAGTTTATTTCCTTAGGGAATTGACGCCCGCATGAATAGTAGTAAGTAAGTAATGTACCCTTTCAAAAGATTGCCTATGAGAGAGGAAGTAAGGTCCCTTTTTATTAAAATTCGATATAGATCTTGTAAAGAAATGCATGATCAGCATTATGTCCTGCTGTTTTACTTTCCACAACTCAAATCAGATACAAACTAAAGCTGAGTGGACTCAGCGATTTTTTGCTAATTTTTGTCCGTATATCGAGCTGGATAGTTTCAAGTAAGAAAACCATACACGCAAACATTGCTGCTCGGGCGTCTCACCTCACTCAGGTGCTTGGCTAGCTGGAAATATTCCTCTTGTGATTGTTGGTCACACTACGTTTTTCGGTACAGTCGTACTATTGACGTCTTTTGTGTAAGGGTTCAGAGGTCAGTGCTATATCAAGAGCTAAACACGTCAATATGGGGGAGATTTAAACGTCTAATGTGTTCATGTATTCATGTCGATTGTTGACAAGTACTCCATTATTTATTTTCTAAGAAAAAAAACAAAATATAAATATAATTCACGTCTAAACTGAAATCCCCCCCCAAAGACTGTTTCTTTACAAAACTAACTTAATGTATTCACGACAATCACAGAATCTACATGCCGAGTCGACGTCTTGCAAGCATATTTTTCCAACACCCAGCAAAGCTAAAGGGATCAAAGTTCCAATTTATCAGCTCAAGGTTTGTCAAGTTTTATTGTTCATTCAGGTTCAGTTAGTCTGTCTTTCAGACTTCTCCGGAGGGAGAGAAGGGGGCACTGGTAAAAGTGTATATTTTCTATATAAATTCCCCCCCCCCCACCCAAAAGAAATGCCTGAAAGAAAAACCAGTTTCAGTATTCATTCTCACTATTCCTCCAGTCTTGCCACCATTTATTTAGTCTTATGATCAACTCAGCCTTATCACTCATTCATATTTACCATTAGTTCATCCTTACCATTCTTCCTGTATTACCATCACCCTTTTCAAATGAAGTTAGTTTCCTAGAATGACGTTCTACGCATGTCCTCCTTGTTGTGACAGGTCCTGAAGAGCCTGGACCGCAACACGTTGTGCGAGTCTGTGTTGTTCGGTGTCCCACTGGTTGTTGTGGCCACGGCCTGCTGGAGGATGGACTGGGAGCTACTGGAGAAGAACCAACACCATTTCCATTCTCTCTGTCACGCGCTCACAGAAAAGGTTCGACGCCTCTGACGTTAACTTCCATTGTGTATTCTCGCCGTGAGATCGATCCAGCTTCAAACATAGCATAATTAATATTTAAACTGTAATTACCATTGTGGTTTCACGCAGAGTTATCAAGTAATAATATATGCAGGATCAGGTACTTCTTACCCAAATCGATGACCAGCACAATGCAGGTAGCTCATCTAGCGCACGAGAATGGCCCCAGCCGCGTCCTCAATGCGTCAACACAGCCCCAAAACCTGCGGGCTTTTTCATCTTGATGCCTTCCGAGCACAGGTAGTTATGTTTACATGTTAAAACAGACGAAACACAAACGGCGTTCTCGTTAGTAAACAATTTTTTTCCCGTTTGGTATTTTGGTTTTATCTGCAAAATGATAAAAAAAGTGGTGTTTGTCGTATGCAAATACCTTAATGTTACACATTGAAGGACAGGACCGTTAAACTTTTACATGACAGTTCTATGCTGATAAAATACTCGTACATTTATTGCACAGCACAATATACTGATAAACAGTGTTGTACACTATTTTTACAGCGTAAGGCTCCTAAAGATTACTGTAAAACTTTTATTCTCCAGCACTATGCTGATCAAGAGTGTCGTGCCCAAAGAGCTGCTGCTACCCTTGACCCAACCCATGAGTCCAGCTGCTCACAACGTAGAGGCTGATCTGTGTGTCAGGTCCTCGTTGTCTATGGTATGAAACAGTTTTTTTTGTGTGTAATTGGTCTCTGGTATGATACATAGTACTGTTCTTCTTCAAAATTGGTCTTTGACATGATGCATACCACTTTTGTCTATTTGGTGACTGCCATGATGCATACCACTACCTCTATTCTTTCTTACGGCTATTGGTGCAACATTATACAATACTAGCGAAGACCTAACTTTATTTGTAGTTGGTAATGTGTGTAGTGTCAGGTTAAAAAACCCACAACACGAGATCTATGTTGTTTTAGCATAAAAAATATTAAATTACTCCTACAACCTCACACTGACTTCGACGTATTCGATTTATTCACAACTCTCCTCAACATTAAAGCATTGTTATGTTCCATGTATTATTGATTCAGTGTTCCTGGTTAGCGCATTAGTCTTCAAAGTAAGGAATAAAGAGAAACTTATAAGAAAAAGCCATCCACCACAGAGCATCACAATGTTGTAAGCCATCACCACAACGTCAGAATTAAACCTAAGACTTTTCTTGTTACTTCTAATTGGACAGGCCGTGCTCTGTTCCATCAAAGTCTACACTGACAAAATGACAGGCGACCTTAAAAAACGCGTCATCTTGACACTTCGTGTGCTCTTTGTGCTGGGGCAAAAAGTATTAGAACGTGTTTTTTTTATATGTTGGGGGAATGTATTGGATTTGGAAAAAAACATCTGACAACTAAAAAGGGAATGATGATTATGCATCGAACCAAAATAAGTCGTGAGATAGCCTTCATTTAAAAAATAACAATCTACTATTTCTGTAAATGTTGTTTTGTGTGTGTAAGGACAGAGGATGACACATCATCAATACTTCACCCGAGACAACGCACTGATCACATGGTCAAAGCGTGTCTCAATGTCAGATCACAAGTTCAGTGTCTACACATACACCAACACGGAGCCTACATCGTCGACACTTTTATACATTCACTCTTTACGAGAACTCATTTCTACGCGTGATATCATCATTTATAAACCGTTTTTAATTGTTTGTTGGGTCAGCGTGGACAGATATAGAGCGTACGACTGCTTACACGAAAACTTCGTTCTGTTCCCTTGATATAGTCCGTAATACGTCGGTGGGTCCATCCAGCTCTGATAGGTACCAGACTCACGTGGTAGAAAGAAAAGACCGCGGGGCATAGTGCTGACCTCACTTTCCTTTTATATGCCAAAGTCACAGAAATAGGTGAACTCCACATCATCTGCGCCATAAAGTAATAGGTTTGAAAGAGTAACTTTTTATTTTTCGCTCTAGTTTCATTAACTAAGCACTAAAATAAATAAAATAAAATTAAGAGAATCATGCAGACAAATCTACCACCTTCGGGAAGTTTATATATTGTATAAATATTCAAAAATATAACCATGCGTTGCACTTTTTTCACAAGTTGAAAATATCTTTCAACAGGTGGAGCACCTAGACGAATTCAATCCTTTACATTACGAATCTGGTTTGTGTAGGGCCTTGAAATACAGCAGTCTGCCCAAATCTGCCGTAGACAAGACAAGAGCGAATAAGAGAAAAAATGAAGCCCTGCAGGGAAAGGTAGGTGGCTTACATTATATTAAATCATATACATAAATCCACATAACAACACAGTTTTTCTTGTACGTATAAAGGAAAAATAAGCAAAATTTTTTAACCAAAAGTAAAGCGTTGGTCGCATTTAATGACCAACGCTTACAACCGTTATCATTACACTTCCCAATTCCAGGGGCCTATCATTTCACAGTGTCTAGATGCCGAGGGTCTATCATTACACCGTGTCTGGATGTTGGGGGTCTATCATTATACCGTGTCTGGATGTTGGGGGTCTATCATTACACTGTGTCTGGATGTTGGGGGTCTATCATTACACTGTGTCTGGATGTTGGGGGTCTATTATTACACCGTGTCTGGATGTTGGGGGTCTATCATTACACCGTGTCTGGATGTTGGGGGTCTATCATTACACCGTGTCTAGTTAACGAGGGTCTTTGATTACAATCAATGCTATATTCATTGATTGCAGTCTCAAGCCAAGCACAAACCAGCCGAGACGAAGACAACTGGGAACCGATTAATAGCTGACCCCTGGTCCTATCCACTGATGAATTACGCTAAAACAGCTGCTTCAAATGTGCCGAGACACAGCAAGCACTAGTTGATATTTCGGTTAGATTTGTCTAAAGTTTCACGGCTTTCGATTCTACCAAATCTTTGTGTGTTGTTCTGTCGTTATATAAAATTTAATTATTCTCATGTCTTCAGTTAATTCGCCAAAACGCCCTTACATCCTGTTATTGTACTTTACTCAGTTGATGTGCCGCCTTTGTTTTGCCTTATAGATTTAACTAAATTTACGTGAAATGTACATATTATGAAAAGTGCAAATCAATATATTAAAATTGTTGTAGCAAAGACGTTGGTCGAGTTTTAAATCGATTACATGTTTATTAAAATTTAAAGTTTCTTTGAACAACCCCGAGAGTTATATTTTCGTCACAAATCTATTCTGTATTTTAAGAAATCATGTCGTTGTTTTGATCTTGTGATTTAAATAATTTAATTTATTACTGTCAGAAATATCAAGTAAGATGATGAACTAAACTCGGTAGAGCAACAAAGCGAACCGTCAAAATGAACTTACTTGAATGTACTTCTATTCTGCCTAACACAACATTATTAAACATTCACTACAATGTACTTTCCCCCGAACAGTTTATTTCTAAAAACACTTGTTCCGGGTCAACCATTTTGAGGTTAAAAAAAGAATTTCTGCGACCGTGCAAATATAAAACACAAAGAATTTGAATAGCGGTTTATCGTTTTGTTGTAATTTAAATTTAATATCTAAAATTATCTAAGTTCCAAACTGTGTGGGTATGTGTGTGTGTGGGGGGGGGGGGGGGGTAGTTCAGAGAAGGTTTAGGGTTTCCTATAAATGTTCTAGAACATGTGGCTGATGGTCTGGGGCATGAAGTAGTTATATAGGTTACAGTGTGGGTGGGTTATTTAATAGGTACACGATTGTCTATGACCAGCGAGACCGAATCGGTATGATTGTTGCATGCACATGAAGATTGTTACACCTGAAGATTGTTACACCTGAAGATTCTTACATTTGAAAATTGCTACACCTGAAGATTATTACACCTGAAAATTGTTAGATCTGAAAATTGTTAGATCTGAAGATTGTTACACCTGAAGATTGTTACACCTGAAGATTGTTACACATGAATATTGTTACACCTGAAGTTTGTTACGTCTGAAGATTGTTACACCTAAAAATTGTTACACCTGAAGATTGTTACACCTGAAGATTGTTACACCTGAAGTTTGTTACTTCTGAAGATTGTTACACCTGAAAATTGTTACACCTGAAGATTGTTACACCTAAAAATGGTTACACCTGAAGATTATTACACCTGAAGATTGTTACACCTGAATATTGTTACACCTGAAGTTTGTTACTTCTGAAGAGTGTTACACCTGAAAATTGTTACACCTGAAAATTGTTACACCTGAAGATTGTTACACCTGAAGATTGTTACACCTGAAGTTTGTTACACCTGAAGTTTGTTACTTCTGAAGATTGTTACACCTGAAAATTGTTACACCTGAAGATTGTTACACCTGAAAATTGTTACACCTGAAGATTATACACCTGAAGATTGTTACACCTAAAAATTGTTACACCTGAAGATTATTACACCTGAAGATTGTTACACCTGAAGATTGTTACACCTGAAGTTTGTTACACCTGAAGTTTGTTACTTCTGAAGATTGTTACACCTGAAAATTGTTACACCTGAAGATTGTTACACCTGAAAATTGTTACACCTGAAGATTATACACCTGAAGATTGTTACACCTAAAAATTGTTACACCTGAAGATTATTACACCTGAAGATTGTTACACCTGAAGATTGTTACACCTGAAGTTTGTTACACCTGAAGTTTGTTACTTCTGAAGATTGTTACACCTGAAAATTGTTACACCTGAAGATTGTTACACCTGAAAATTGTTACACCTGAAGATTATACACCTGAAGATTGTTACACCTAAAAATTGTTACACCTGAAGATTATTACACCTGAAGATTGTTACACCTAAAAATCGTTACACCTGAAGATTATTACACCTGAATATTGTTAGATCTGAAGATGTTACACAACAACCAGACTCCGCTAAAGGTGATGCCCTGTGTTTAATTATTCTATCGCGTTTATAACGGAGATAAATTACAATTTACCAAAACGTCCACGAGTTACAGATTTTACACGAGAAGTTTTACAAAATATTCCATTAAAATATTGTTTTCTTTATAAACGAACACAAACATTGCCCCACAGAGACCAAAAAATACTATCTGATAATTTTACATTAACGCACAAAAGTTATCGGCGTACAATTTCCACCCCTGTGGCTTTATTAGCGGTTCTTTAACTAATTCATATGAACTCGGGTGTGCTCAGAGATTGTCCTCAATGTTATTTTATATTGATATTTAATACTTTGTGGTTAATTATACGAAGTCAGTTCATAGCTAGGTAAATTCAGCATCATGATTTACAATTTATTTTGTTATTAATTTTGTCCCTTGTCATTCAAAAACTTAAGATCCGCCAACCAAAATTTGAAACTAAAAACAATTGCTATCAAGCATTGAATTGACCTGCTTCATTATAAAACACGACAACACAATTGAAGCACTATGTGAATCTGTGCGTTGCTTTAGGCGCGGCCACATTTGAATCCACACCAGTGAACTTGTATACAAGTTGTCCGCCATCTCCCGAGTATACAAATAATTGCTGTTTTCCATCGCCCATTTGCTCAGTTTAAAAACACACCGCCTCATTGTGTGACCGTCCCCTCTACGCTCTACTCTATTCTCTGTTGACCAATTACTGCTCTGTTTTACCGTGATGTGTTTTGTCAACAGCATCGTACCGTAACGACGCCATGCTAACATTTAGACCACACTCACAGTGTGGGAAAACAACATTCTTGTCAAAGCTTATAAGAACTATAACCTTGTCGACCTAGAGTTAAAATACGAACTATTGCTGAATTACTTCAATTCCCTTGCGGTGAAAAATAATAAAACGTATATCTTTAAAAATAAATTTAACACTAAAAAATCAGCGGGTCTAAATGTGTTGGGATTTGGGCTGAAGTTATTCATTTGAGTTAATCTGTAATTACTTAGCGTATAATGTTTCTTTCGTGTAGAAACCAGAATAGTTATAATGTAGGAACCGTCACAGAAATGAGTATATAGGCTGTATCAAGAAAGTAAGGACAAAACTATCTTCCACCACAACAGACAACTATACCAACCTTGGAATAACGAAAATAGAATATAAATTATACTAAGTGTAACTAGAGATTAACAATGTTAAAATAAATTCATATTCATATAATTATCTTTACAATTTGGAATCTTACAAGCGTATATGTTCTAGCAACGCCGAAAATTTTTCTACTGTATCTCTTCTGTGGTGTTGCTTTTACCTTTATTTTATTTTGCATTTACTAATGAGATTAGACTTTAATATAATATTTTTACAAATAATTTTTTAAAAAGACTAGAAATTATTCATTGCGATTTTTCTTCTTTTTTTTCATTTATCTCTCCAAGTAAAAATTTAAGTATTTTACAAACAGGCTAATAGTATTGGCAAAAATTTATAGCCATAATAAATCAACGATCACAACTGAGTTGGCCAATTAAACCAACTATATTGGTGCCAGTTCTCTTCAAATTGTCGTTAGAATAATTTCTTCAATTACCAATTGAAGGAGCGAAATTGTACGAGAGGTTCCATCGACCGAGCCTTGAACGTATGTGACATAAATCTTGGCGTGTTGCTGGCAGTCATCTCCCTTGTGTTGTTCGACACTACAAAAGGAAATAATCTGATTGGTGTGGCGAACGTCTCACAGGCGTGTCTAAAAATGTTTAATTAGAACACACAGACATGACCTCCCACTACATCTTGTAAAGTTGTATACAAATGGCTAACTGCGTCATGTACACATTTTGTGTACTACTGGTCTTCCATACAGAGGCGTAGCGTCCCTTCCCGGCGCCCGGGAAACACTTTCTATTTGGCGCCCTCTCGGAAACAACCTTTCGATTTGCACCCCCTCCCCCCTATATATTTTTTATATTTATAATGCAAAACTGCAGCAAAAATGAGATTTTAATTTGTTTTTCCAACCCATTTTGGCGCCCCCTAAGGTCGGCGCCCGGGGATTTATGCACCCCTTCCCCCGCCCCCCCCCCCTCGCTACGCCTCTGCTTCCCTAACTCATACACTCCACACACTCATATAGGAGTATGATAAGAAATGGCTACATCAAAAATAATTTACATATTAATTACAGGTGTAATGTATGGAGTTAATTATTGTTTTTAATACATAATTGGTAGAGTAGTTCTCAGCTGATGTTAGCTTACCCAGTTCCAACTTTCGTGACTAATAAAACCCTGTATACCTAAAAATGTTATAAAGAACGACAAAATCTACAGTCATGACATGTCAAAATCTACAACGTCATCATTCGACAGCTAGTCAAGAAATGACAAAATCACCAGTTAGTCAAGAAATGACAAAATCGCCAGCTAGTCACGACGAATGAGAAAACAGTCGTGAGTTTAAAAAAACTGATCCCCGTCACTCGGTATTCTGCTGGTCAACCCAGCGTGAGTCTTGTGTCAGCTCTCATTACTTTAACCCCCTGTCGTCTTGGCCAAGGGATTCCCCCATATACTTAGTCTAACATCATAATACTAGGCACAGGAGAAACATTTTTCACAACATGAATTGTAAAGTTATTTCCTCAGATGATTGTAATCGATATATTTTTTTAATCATAGTGCTATTTAAATGTTTGCCTTGACATTTAAGTTTTCTATTAAAAGAAACGAAACGTTCTGAAAGTATTTAGTTTCTTAAATAGATCTAGAAATAGTATTTATTATTACCGGCAAATTAAAAACAAATCATCATGGGATGTCTGCCCTTATACACACTTGACAAGACAACATATCCCAACCTTCAGATGTAAACTAGCATTAGATATCTTTCTTTACATTTCGCCCTACGTAACACAGCTTCAACTCAATTATATATTTTTATATTTTAATATCGCATTATTTTAAAATAAAATAACCTACTTTTATTTTTTGTAATCAACTTTAAATAGCTTTTTAAAATCAACTTAAAACAAGTTATTATCACAGATATTAATAAAAATGCTACACTGCATGGTAATAAAGCACGATTTTAAAGATTTAACCTTCTCTTGCCATCAAGTACAATCAATAGATACAATTTTTGAACGCCTGTCTATCGCAGATGAAACACTGGCAGTGAATGCAATAAAAAATCAAGATCAAACAGCTCTTTATTCGGAGAGCATCAGCTGTAAACAGTAAACAGCTTACATTGATTCGCGTTGTCTCCCCTTACCAAGGGCCGTCACCGACATTAAATCTGAAGTTTGAGGTCA